ATTAGCATGAGAGCGCAATTCCAAAAAAGCACCGATGGGAGTGGAAAAGTTCTGCACAGACGCAGCCGGATCATTTCCATAATGACCAACGCTATCTACCAAGAGCAGCGCAAATTAGCGACTGGTTTAAGACATGCTTTTTTGGGGCGGGAAATAATGGCGCAAATACCAGTAAATTGAAGAGCGCAAACCTTAGTAAATCACATTGCATGATTAATTTAAATACTCTCCTCCCATAAATTGTGCGTCTGAAAAGGAAACTCCTACAAATTCAAATGCAATAAGCTCAGCTGCAAAAATAACCCTATTCAGCACTAATTTTTCACTGCGTGTCTTTAGGTAATACTGACGCCAATAGATGGTTTGCGCTGGCGCTTAATGTCTTATGCAATATTTCTTCAAGTAAATCTTGTTTAGATATTTTTTTTACAGGAAAAGTTGCAGTGCATTTTAAAGGCTTAAAACCAGAGATGTAATGCATGATAAGACATTTCTGAACTGTCCAACCCAAACACGCTATGTTAAGTAGGTGGAGGCAGTCAAAAACTATGAAAAATTTGATTAAAACTTTTGAGTCTTAATTTGACTCAAGGGTCCATTGATACAATCCCCCCAGATTTCCCTCGAAGCACCATTGAGCCCACCACAAAGTCCAATATTAGAAGGAATGCTTTTGTAGGCCTGAACTCAAAGCGTTTAGATTACCCTGCGATGAATTTGCGATTTATAGCAAAGTTAAAAACTTTAACACTGGCAAAGGGCAACAGGGAAAAAGTCATTATTTCATTTTCATAAGGCTTTACTGGTAATCCGAATCCTCTTTCTCACTCCTTTGCACTTTGTGGTTCAATATATGTGGTAAATTCGTGCTACTTTGGAATGTTTTCCTGCTGTTCCTCCTTGGAATTCGGTGGTGCACACATCAAAATAATATATCCAGGATTAATCTTCATTTAATTGTTTTATGAGAGGTTTTTCTTGGCGGTTTCGTACTTTGCTTGGCCATTCAGTATGTTTGCAGGAGAAGAATGAAAAGCAGGTTTAGGAATAACGGATGGATTTCATTTTTTTTTCACGGTTACCAACACTCTTCAGGGGGTCGTAAATTGAGTTGTGTTAGTTCATGTGTGGCATCCATATGGACCTTCAGGTGCGAGACGGATAACAAGAACATTTGGAAATTTGAAGGATACATTCATGGATCATAATGAGAGTGGTGTTTGTCCATGCAAAACTCAACAGTGGCTATGTTTCTTGAGGAAGAAAACCTTAATCCCCCAATCATTTTGATGGATTATTCAATTACAAATGTAAGAGTCTTTGGCCTTGAGGGTCAACAGATTGAGACTCAGCAACAGTGACCAATGGGAAGACCAACCTCCTCCTCACAATGATGAACTCAAGGGGTCTGAGACCCCGAGTACTCGGGTCATAAATCAGAGTTAGGTGTCTTTGCCGATTCATTCATTTCTCTCACAGGAAGTCCGCTGGCATTGACCTGTGCACATGGTGTCTGCTAACCATGAGGACACACCACAGAGAGCAGGCCATGTAAACGCTCCCAGATGTATGACTAGAGCTTCCAGCACGTCCTCAAAACAAACGTCCTGTCCTTAACATACCTCTGGGAACACTTAAGACCAGGGATTGTTTATTGTCCACAATGGACTCGTACATCTTTTGTCTGTTTATTCAAAGGCAGAAGCTTAGTGTTCGTTATTTTAGCCCAGGATGTGTCCTTACTTTTGGGGTACAGACACTTCATTGAAGTTTGAAGGGCACTAGAACTTGTTCGCCTTATATGCACACAAACATGTGAGCATTTTCAAACACCACATTTTTCGTGGTGCAAATTCGCATGGTTTAGAAGAAATGTAACCCAGAGCATGTATACGTCACTGATTTCATTTGAACTCATTTCTAAGAATCAAACATAGATGCGGTTTCTCATCAAGTTTAAAAGAGAAATTTTAAATAGAGAAGCTACATGAAGTTGTGTGGAGTAGACAGTATTTTTAATACTTGGAACTACTTGTTAGTGCTGTTTGCTAATGCATCACTGTTGCTCATGCTTATGGACTCAAACTAGCATAAAACATTAAAGCTACAATATGTAATTTTTTCCGCCGCTAGGGGTCGCTAACCTCTTACAATAACAAAGGCGTAGATTGATGACGCAGTGAATAAGCGGTATCATAGCCTGGTTAAAACCAGACCATTCTCAGTTGTAACTGAGTTATGGTCTGGCAAAGCGTCATAGACAAATCATTTCTAGAGGGGCGTCACCAACGGACGTCGCGGATAGACCTAAAACCAATCAGAGCGATGGAGATGACGTATGCAGAGCGGTGGAGAAACATCTCCGAGTGTTGTTCTTTGCTCGGTTTTTAACAAAAAGGAAACGTTCAAATCGCTTAAAACAGACGCGATAGCTGATTCGAACGAGTGATGTTCGACGGCGGCATCCATCTTGGTAATGCAGGCTACAAAATCTGCTTCAAAATCCCAGCGCTGTCGTCTTCGTGTAAAGCCCGCCCCAACGTTTCTGATTGGTGCCTCGATTTCGGCGGATTGGAAATGGGCTTGAATGAGCTCTTTGCCAGACTAACTTTCAGAGCAAATCTAAATTTGCCGGAAGTTGTCTGGGTTTTCCCAGGGCAGGCTATAGCGGTATCATGGAACTTGCTGTCATGCTGATGGATCTAATAATGTTTATGGGTGAGTGAAAACATTGATGTTTTTTAACATGACTGTGGTATGAAGCAGGGCGCGATTGCTAATGAAAGACAGATATCAGCGCCACACACGAGTCCCGCGGATATAAAGGAATGAGTACATTTAAATCTACTGAACTACCCGCAAGTGCTGAATTACTACTCACACAGGTCAGTTTATTTGACGAATTAAACTTGTGAGGTAACGCAGCGCTGTTTCACTTGGTCTAACGTTACACTATCATACTAAACAGCATTTGAGTGTGTTGAAAGTTTTGTTATATGTGTTAGTTAGTTGGCTATATGAGACTAGCAGTAAGATCAACATTAGAATAACATACTGATCATATTCTAACATTTCATCATGTTGAGCTATATAACATTGATTTGTTTTATGTACATTTGCTTACCTGCCTAATAAAATACGTGCAAGAGCAGCTTCTCTGTCAAGTCCAAGTTTGTCGTGGAGCTCTCGGCATCTCGAAAACGCCATGCTGATATTGATCCTCGTTTTAGTTATCCTTTTGTCCCAAAGTCTGCCTGCCATGGTCCATAATGTTTGAACGAAACAACAACAGCGTGCCGCTAAACATTATGCAGTTGTCCACATCTGTCGCCATGGTTCCTATGGCAGTACAAGCGGAAACCAGGGATAACGCGGATATTACATCATTCACAGGCAACAAGTGACAAGGGACGGGCACTATTTAAAATTGTGAATTTCTCTGAGTTTACCAATTCTTGGAAACATTTAGGATAATGTAAGGACACAATTGAAAGAAATAACACGTGCAAGTGGTTTTTGGATATTTTGATACAAAATTCTTACATATTGTACCTTTAAATATTAGTTTGTGTGTCTTCTGTGATTCTAGATCATTAGTGTTTGGAGAGCTGATAAACCTCTATTTATAGCCTCACTTGTTGCTCTGCACCGATCAGGTGATCAGATTGTCATGAGCTGTAGGGAGGGAGATGTGATCTGTGTTGAGCAGGTAGAGAGGACGTTGTAGTTGCTGTCAGGCTGTGTTGCATCCCTCTTATTCTCTCAATTTCTCTTCTAATTGATACCTTCTTTTTCCTCCCTCCAGTAAAAGTGGTAATATAAATTCACCTCTTTTGTCTGCTGTTCTCTTTTCTTGTTAGATTTTTTTTCTTGTCCAATTTGACTCTAGTGGGTCAAAAGTAAAGAAATGTTGTTGTTTTTCATTTGACAAGTCTGACTGACCAACACACAGGTTGCAAACAAGGCTTATTGTCTTCTCTTCTGCTTCAACTCTACTTTGTTTATGCTGTGTTATATATCATGTTTCCCTTTTCTCACCCTGACACAAAGAAAAAAGTGTGAATCAATTGTTGATGTGTGAGTGCTACTAAAGGTACAGATATATGTTTCTAAGTTCAAAGGTCACAGCCATTTTGATGACCTCCCACACTTCATGCAAAAGTATGTGAATTATTTGACACTGCTACTTTTAGAACAAGTCTAGGTGCTTTATGACACTTTGGCATCAGGCCTTCTCAACAAAAATAAATCCTATAAAGTCACTTTTTGCATAAAATAATAACTTATGTTAAGCTGCCAGTGTAGAAACATCCTTTCTAATGGGGTGGTGATGGCGCAGTGGATAAGACACATGCCTTTGATGTGAGAGACCCGGGTTCGAATCCAATGTGAGACACCAATGTGTTCCTGAGCAAGACACATAACCCCTAGTTGCTCCAGAGGCGTGCGACCTCTGATATATATAGCAATTGTAAGTTGCTTTGGATAAAAGCGTCAGATAAATGTAAATGTATTTTTGACGCTGCACAGTCACTTTAATTTCTCAGTCTGATTTACGAACAACATAAATTCACTACTATGAATCTTATTTGTTACATTTTTAAATGATGGAAAGTTGCACTGACATGTCGTAAAATATGTCAGCGCTATTGTTTTGTCACAAGATGCACTCCAGTGATGTTTAAAAGTTACTTAAATGTCCTAATTTAACTAAGCCACTCCTGGCTTAATCTAAGCCAGAGTCTAAGCCCTGTCTGTGAAACCAGGCCTTTATGTTGTAAATAAAAAAAAACATGTCTCAATCCTCATCTTAAAAATAGAGGAATGACATAATGGCCAGACATGATCATTTTAATTCTGTTTCTCTCCTGATCCTCATCTCTTGATTTATCCCTCACACTTCCTTTCAGAGTCTATCCTTGCACTTACTCTTTTTATGACGGGCTGTCTGGGACTCCTGTGGTTTAATCGTCTGTGTTTTCTCTGTTTCCGATGTTCAGGGTCCACTTGGTCTGGATGGCAAACCTGTGAGTATTCCCCAGCTTTAAAGAGACAAGGATTTATGTGTGGAAAAGATATTCTGAATTCTCACTTTCTCAGTGTGACACTTTGAAAAGAAAAGTTGTCAATGATTTTATTATAACCAAATACAGGCACCTCTTCACTAGACCACAGAGAAGTCTCCATTATATTATCATTTTCTGCGCGACCTGTACATTGACAGCAACACACCTCATCATTGTTTCTGCAATGACGTCTGACGTGTTTACATTTGACGTTGCATGAGAACGTGATTAAACGCAAAAACGCTACGCAAGAACCTGACCAGAGCAGTCAGACTGGAATTAGTTTTCAGATATTAGAATTGAATAAGATTTCATACCACATACGAATTTAGCTTGAAACGGATTTGTAAAAATCTGGTTTCAAGGGATTTTTTGCAATTCGCATTTGCTAAATATAATCGGATACTACAGAGCCCCTAAAGGGACATAGTGGTGGTGGAAAAAAATTTGAGATGGAAGGGAAAAAATATATTTTAAAAGTTTTGCATTCCCTCAAAAAACGTTTGTTCTTAGCAAGCGAACGCAAAGTTTTTTCAACGCAAAAGCAATGACAATTTTTTTTCTCCCATCTCATATTTCTATTCCATCACCATGTACCTTTAGGGGCTCTTATGTCATTTCAAAGAAGTGTGTGTATTTACCGTATGGGTGACATTATGGGTGACATAACTTACTTTTTTGCAGAAACTTGTAACTGAAATGGACACAAAGTAGATGTTCCTTTTATTTAATTACATAAGATTGTTGTTATTGTTTTTTTTTACTACTATTGCTTATAAACACCATTAAATCTCTGGCATGTAACTGACTGTTTGTGCTACGAACGTGAATGATGGCTCAATTGTGTAACTTTTCTAAGCAATCAGAATTATGAGTCTTGACTTGTGGAGGATGTGAAACCATCCCATAGACTTACATTGAAAGAGTTACCTGAGCCAAATCTAGAGGCCAGGGTTTCATAGAGACTTGGAAAGACTTCTTGTTTTGACTAGAGATGTAATTGATTTGTTTTGCAGGGTACTCCTGGACCTAAAGGAAGCCAGGTAAATCCAATTTCAAATCTCTACTGTTCCGTATCTTATATTATAGAGCAATAAGTGCAAACTTTTGCTTTATGACGTTTTTGGTTTTGACGTTTTGACGTTTTTCGTGCAAACTTTTGGTTTATGAAAGCTACCAAACTTTACACACATCTGAAAGCTGTTCATTTGTACGGTTTTATTTTTTCATGGCTTCAGAGGGATTAAACTCCTATATACGTTTTCAGGCCATTTATCATCTCAGATATAGGGTCACACACCACAAAGTGCCTTTTTACCATGTATGTCCATCCCCAAATGAGATGGAAATAATGGATTACACACCGAAAAGAGAGAATTCATCATTGTTAGCTTGTGCGCGTGCAAATAGGCGGTGGTTTATAAACCCTGCTGTGCTCTTTAGCGCTGCCAAGGGAAGCCCATTTGTCCAATGTAAAGTAAACCACTTCTTCTGGAAGGCAGACCACCTCCAAGCGCCATTCGTCTGTCGCTTCCTGTGAAAGACAGTTGTTTTGTTTTGACTTGCATGAAGGAGTCTAAGGTCGTCATACAGTAGGTTTCAATCAGGCATGAAAATGTGGGATTCTGTGATGCATATAACTGATGTGCAGAGTATTCCATATCTAAAATGAGGAAGAGGTTGCAATTGAATCGGTTGCATCTGATTTTATTCAAATGTGACACAGATTCTTTGAACGACATGACTGACTCTGACATTTTTAATCCCAGTGTGTATACATGCATTTTTTATTAGGTTTTTGAGCCAACAAAACTTGCTCAATTTTTATATAAAAACTAACATAGTTTACAGTTGAAACGGTATTTCTTGTTTAAAAAAAAGTGTCTGATATGGGTCACAGTGAGAAGGTCATGTGAACAACCTCATAAAAATATCATATTTGAAAATGAAAATACCATAGACTCAGACTCTCATTTCCAGTTTCACTCAAACCATTTTCGGTCAGCTGTACGTCCATCATATTCACAGACTTTTGATCATGTTATTTACAAGTGACTTTTAAGATCAAAGATTACAGCTATATCTAGTGCAGATGTGAGGTGCTGTCTATAATTCTATTTGGAAAAAGATGACTTTGATAACTTTGAAAGCGAGGTACATGTGAAAATTTATGGACACTGAGACACTAAAGACTCTTAGCGAGTGAATGGTTCACATGCAAGTTTTTGAACTACACTGTGTTTTCCCTTAGACTTTTGTCATATTAATATTTCATGTTGGACAATCTGTCTAATCAACACACCCAATTCATTTATTTCCAGGGGCTGCCAGGACCAAAAGGAGATAAGGTACCTTTAGTATCTTTCTTTCCGAAATTGTAAGCCGCACACAGGACGGTTTCGTTCTGTTTCCGATCTCAGCTTCCCAGCAAGCAGATGTTTTCCGATTTCTAAAACAACTCACAAATTTCATTTGCATTGGCTTTTGTCTTCAAACACATGTTTTGGAGGGGATGTAGACTGTGTCAGGCATCAAATTAGAGTAACAAGAAACCTGTGGTAAATGAAGACCGTCTTGAAGTATTTTCCTGATTGCAGTAAAAAAATAAATTAAAAAAACCCACAACAAAACACAAACATGGAGCCTCAGGATGCTTTTTCGCCTAGATCAGTGTTTCTCATTTATAGTAATTAGTAAACAGACTTATGTTCATTCTCTGCCCTGATTTCATTTATCTGCTCTTTTGTTGTTAAATAGATGGTTTACTAAACTCACAGTAAGCCAGTTTATATTATGAATTAGGGTGTTTAAATGAGTAAGTTTCTCTTACATCTAAAACAGAAAAAGCTTATTATTGCTACCACATAAGAACAGCCACTGTCTACCACATAACACACTCAGAACACCTTAGCAAAACACACTCAGAACACCTTAGCAACCATCCACACAATTTCTTTTTGGAATATAGAAACATCTTTACTGTAGTTTATATAGTGCTGTGTTGCTAATTGTATGTCTTGTCTTTGTGTGTTTTAGGGTGACCAAGGAGACACTGGGCCAAGGGTCAGTAGTACATGCATATTTCTGGCACCTTGAATAGATCTATATATATTCATATTTTCCCTTACAATCAGATAATCAGAATGTGCCTCAGAGTAATGCAGGAGATTCCTGACTGGATGTTAAAGGGTTAGTTCACCCAAAAATGAAAATTCTGTCAGTAATTACTCACCCTCATGTTGTTCCAACCCCGTAAGACTTTCGTTCATCTTCGGAACACAAATTAAGATATTTTTGATTAAATCTGAGAGCTGGATCACCCCACAGAGAAGGAAATGATTAGTTGAATAAAGTCGTTATTTTTGTTTGTGTTTTGCGCACAAAAAGTATTCTCGTCGCTTGATAAACTTAAGGTTGAGCCACTGTAGTCACTCGGACTATTTTAACGATGTCTTTCATAACTTTTGGGCCGGCCAGTTTCGATCTCTTAAGAAGCCTATGGAGGAGTGATCCAGCTCTCAGATTTAATCAAAAATATCTTAATTTGTGTTCCGAAGATGAACGAAAGTCTTACGGGGTTGGAACAACATGAGGGTGAGTAATTACTGACAGAAGTTTCATTCTATCCCTTTAATCACATTTATGAAGATTGATGATGCATCATAAACCAGGATTGAAGGGCTTAAATTGTGTACGACAGAAGGCTGAATTCATTTACTATAGTCAATATTCTCTCTTTCTCATATTTTCTTCATCTTTCTTTATTCTTTTTGTCACGCACATCCAAAGAAGTGGCATTACTAGGATGTGCATGTGGATTTACAAGATGGGCAACTAAAAATATGGGAAGAAATAAAATCCAAATCTTTTAACTTTCTTAATTTGAACCTTCTGTTGGGTTGGGCAATTTCTTTAGGATGAGCACGCCCACACTTGCTGGTGTCATGGTCTAATCCAAACATAGAATTGTTCGACCGATATTTGACTATTTAGAACTGACCAAAGAAGTGTTGATTTTGAGTAGTGTGTTCCAAAATGTTCAAACTTGTCAATGGATAATGTACTTTTTCAGGTTTCAAATAATAGTTTTTGTGACTTAAATCAGTAAAATAAGTATTTATTTAAATGAAACAATTTTGGGTATGTTTTTTTTTTTTTTGCTTTTATAATATGATATAATATAATATTAGTGTGTGTGTGTGTGTGTGTAAATAGGAGTTTATTGATATTTTGATTCCCTAAAGAGTGTGCAGTGTGTGTATCTGTGTGTGTGTGTGTCTGAGATAGATTGCATGTTTCAGAGCACAAAAATAACAACAAAAAAAGTCTCCTGACTTCAGCTAAAGCTCAACAATCCTCCCTTTTGGGAAGCTCTCCCTGAAAAGGAAAAATACAGAGTAAATAATGTCTTTATTCTCTTCTAAAATTGCCACAAGTTTTATTTTAGGGTTGGGGTTAGTCTGTAGTAAATATAATTAGTGTAATTTATATAGCATAGGGACAATAGAAGTCAATGGGAAGCTTAGTTAGCTGAGCGTGTGTGTAGTGCTGAGTAAAGCAGCAGTGTGGGAAACCTCAACCATCCCTCGGGTCACCACATCCCTGCTAACTCAACCCTCATGCTCACGCTGGCATCAACAAACTGTGTCACTCGCTCACTTTCTCTCTATGATGCTCTGTTTTTTCTCTTTCTCTTTTGCAAAGCCTTTACTTCTCAGATTTCTGAAGCTAACTGTCATTCTTAGCCATGTTCCTGTTTTCCTGCAACGCAATATAGCACGACGGTGAATTGCTATGAAATAATCCTTACACTTGTGACTTGTTGTCTGTTTCCATTCTCAAAACTTTTCAGAGAGAGAGAAAGTGACATCTGTACTCACCTCAATGGTACGGCCTTATTTAAAATCTCTTGCGGCAGACAAAAAGTGCTGTGCTTCTCGTGCAGCTCTCTGTCAACACAATCCAGCCCTATGAATGTGGTTTACAGAGACAAGCACACAGACAGATGTGATTTAAGACAGCAAAAATAAAACCATGGTTTTTGTCCAGTTTTATTTCAAGGTGGCAAGACCAACAATTTATTTTATTTTTTTATTTTTTTTTTATCTCAGTTGTGTTTAGGCAGTCCAGACACATTGTCCTTTTTGGTCTGCATTTAGAACAAGTCAAAATTGCAAACATTGTTTTTTTTTGTTTTGTTTTATGACATGGCATGAATAACTGATCCAGTCATACCCAATGAGAACCATTCCACCAAATAATATTTAAATGAAAAATATCATATTATATATTTTTTATGTTGTTGAAAGAAGTCTCTTGGTTGTATTTATTTAATCAAAGATACAGTAAAAAACAGTACTATTGTCTTCTCTATTGTAGTATATTTTAAGATGTATTTTATTCCTGTGATGTCAAAGCTGGATTTTCAGCATCATTACTCCAGTCTTCAGTGTCACATCTGATCCTTCAGAAATGATTCTAATATGCTGATTTGCTGCTCAAGAAACATTTCTGATTATTATGAAAGTTGAAATTATTATGCGGCTTAATATGTTAGTGGAAACATTGTTTTTTCAAGATTCATTGATGAATAGAAAGTACAAAAGATAATTGAAATATTCTGTAATATTGTCAATGTCTTACTATCACTTTTAAAGTATACAGTTTGTAAAGTATAAGTATAAAATGTATACTTTAAAAAGAAAAGTTATTAACCCCATACTTTTGAATGGCAGAGTATGTTATCCATTGACAAGGATGTTGGGGTTTTTAATTGTCCAAATGGACTACATTGACACTGAACATTTCAAAAAAGCCAAATATCAGCCAAACAATTGGCCTGAACGTTAAGCTAATTTGAGCAAAATTCTCCAGGTGTTAATTCTCATTCCGGTGGCAGTGAAATGCTCTTTCAAAGCTCTTTTGATGACTGGTCTGTGTATCTCTGCTCCTCTGTTCATCCTCTTCCTCTCGCAGGGTCATGGCACTCATGCAGGTCTGCATAGTAATCAGATTCTCATTAAGGTTTGTCCCTTCACTGCTGCCATAGCCTTCATCTCCAAGCTTCTCCATGTCAAGGATGGTCGTCTTCCCTTCATGGCCCCTGAGATCTTGCTCAGCTTCCACACTATCCCTCTGTCTGAGTTTGTCAATGCTCGTATTGTTTCTCCTCAACTTTCTCCTTTGTCTTTTACTCCTGTCTGTTCTTCTGGGGACGTCCTGTCTCTTACTATGGGGGACTCACACGCACAGATGGTCTTTCCTCGTTACGATCACGGCTACATCTCGGCCGATCAGCCCAGTTTCCAGAGGCGCATGCTGAAGGTAGCATGTGTGCAAGGCATGTGCTGCGGACACTCCCCTTACTAGATCTTCATCTTCCTCATTTCTAACTTATGTCATGTAGCGTGATTGCTTGTGTTTTTGTTTGTGTCTCAATATTTACAATGAAATAACCTCATCCATGTCTGAAGGATCTGAGCGTTGCATGCAAGCTGCTGCTTCAGTGAATGTGGCTGATTCAGGGTGAATGTCACGAAAACATATCTCTGTATCATATTTTACCCCATACAAATATTAGTAATTATATTTTGCATAAGGAAATTGAATGCAAAATAATGGCACAATGCAAAAATAGATATAATACAAAATAATTGTCCTGATAATAGATACACTAGTAAAGAAATTTCTTCCTGAGATTCATACCCTTAGATATACAGTATAAGGAAACCTTGTAGTGACAAAATTGTGCCATTATACATTGGAAAAACAATTGGTCTATTAACAATTTTCACTAAGAAAGTGCTAGTAAATTTCACAAATAATTACAAAGCAAGTAACACATTGAGTTAAACGTGAAATTTTACAGTAAAAAACTGAAATTGTATTTGTAATAATAATTGTTGTTAAATTATTTATGTATTATTATTATTCAGAAAAGTCTCATTACTTATATACAATAAATCACTGATGAAACTTGAAACATCATAGTTCTACCATTCAATTTTTCATAAAAAACCTGAAATATATACTTCAAGAGAATGTTGTCTGTGCTTATTTGTGTGATTTCCTGTGACTTGCTTATAAAAATGTATTGTACTGTATATCACATATCTGTATGTTTTCATCAGGGTGATCAAGGACAAGCTGGCCCACCTGGACCTCCAGGCCCTCCTGGTGCACCCGGTGCTAGAGGGCCCCCAGGAAACACTGGGAAGGACGGCCCCCGTGGCCCACAAGGAGATACAGTAAGACGCTTCAATCATTTTTACTTGCTTCCGCGATACCTTAAAAGATGCTGTGCATAAAGGGGTCATCAAATGTAAATTGCCGAGGTTAAAGCACATCAGGGATACAAGTTTTTTAAGTGTGATATTACAGATCCCTGCACATGACATGTGGGAAAAAACGAGGAGGAAGAGGCAAGGGAGGCAGTGTCTCCTCAAAAATGTGACATTAAAAAGTGTAAAATTCATTTGTTTTTATAAAGTAACAATGTCCAAAAGCGACACTATAGTTACAGCGGGACGCCGCGTCTCTCTTGCCTCCCCTGAGCCCATTGACTTTTAACAGACCCCCCAAAGTGTGCGGTGGGTTTGGTGGGGGGTATTTGAGAATGAATGGGGGAAAGTCACGTTTGAGGAGGCAATGCCTCCATTGCACTTTGATTTGATATGATCGGTTATGACTGGATATCATTGGTTTGTGCGATAAATCCCGCCTCTTGTTTTCGTGCGCGTTCTCGAATCGGCCTGAATGAAGACAATTAATGGGAACACTAATTAAAAAGCAAGTAAACAACTCAGCCACTTAGATATCACCGCTTTGTCACGTCGAAATCAAACTTGGCCTGAGAACATGATGACTGTGGGGGGTTTTAGTGCGTAAACGGCTTTGGGGAAATTAAAGGTTCATCTTTGTGTCTGTGGCCAGTGTGTACAAGCTTGATGACTGATGAAAATAAGTTGACTATTAAAAAGAAAAGCTGAACATTAGTTCACAAATAATATATGTTGTTTAAATTGTTACTGCCTTTAGTTATTATTTTGGAATAAATGAAAAAATGCGTAAAAACACTAACTTGATGAAATTTAAAATTGGTTTTAATAAATAGAACATTACATAGTTAGTGTAAAAAAACAAAATAGAATTGTGTTTGGTCTCTCTTTGATGTAATGTTTATTTAACCAGGAAAATTAAATGTAACAGGGACGTTAATTTAGATTTGATATATATATATATTTTAAAAAAGTGAAGATTTTGCCTCCTCATTTTAAAACACTGGGGAAAAAATGTGTATATCGTGGCCACAGATTAACAATTCATTCCCATGACTTACTAATACATCAGCACATTTGACTAATTTCTTACTAATTCGTTCCCTCGTTTTACTAAATCTTGTGCACGATACAATAATTAGTTCCCTTGTTTTATTAAATTGTGACCACATTGTAATAATTCATTCCCGTGTTTTAGTTCAATCAAACAAGTGAACGAATAAGTAAATGGTGGCCACAATAAACAGGAAAATATTGATTAATTATGGAAACAAAGACAATATTGTCAGTTCAGTGTAAAGGCCATTAATTATGAAACGAGTTTACTTGAGCTATAAAGCACTTCTGGAGCGGCTCAGTTAAGTCTGCTATTTTAAAGGCTGTCTCAATTGCAGAATACTTCCAGTGCACTGAAACGTTAGACATGTAACATGTTTATATGTATGTAACAATTGAAAGTATTTATCATAATGTACCTTAAATAAAAAAAAAATTTAAATGTGTGGAAAATATCAGTTCTGCTGTTCATAAATACCAGTAGTGATATTGTATAATGTGTAGTGAGTCCTTACTAGTGTCCAAAAATGTGTGTACACCATAAGGCTATACTGATTCACGACCTGCTGATTGAGACGCACCCTAAGTTGTCAACAAAAATGATTCATTTAGTGCCAACAAAAAATATTAAGTTAAATTAAATTTGACATTTAAATGGATTGAACATAATTAAATTGGATTGTGACAATTTTTTCAAGAATTGTGTTGCTTTAGCTCATTTTAGCTAAGTAATTTGAACAAGCTGCTTAAACAGACGGCGTAGGGCACTAACTACCAAGGGGGCACCAAACAGTGATGTTTACTGAGGGGCCCTGGTTGTACAATTGGATTTATTATCTGAAGATGTTTTTGTACTACAGCAGCCTGTGGTTTACAACAGTTACAGGTTGTACTTTAGAGGTTAAAGGCATTAGCATTGCTCCGCTCTGGCCTCTCATCTCACGGTTGTGTTTTGTTCAGCTAGAGGTGATGGAGAGAGAGAGAGAGAGAGAGAGAGAGAGAGAGAGAGAGAGGTTAGAGGGGAAGGGGGCAAATCCAGTTCATCATTCCCCCGATGGGGCGTTTGAGAAACCACAGCCTATGCCAGTGCACGGCGGCTCACCTAAAGCTGAACCAAATATAGATTTTAAGGCTCAAGACTCATCTGGTTTGGGTAAGACACGGCCACAAGAGATATGGCGCAAGTCCTGGTTCAGGAACAGTTCTCACAACATTTCTTGCCTTAGGTCCCTTCAAATGAAGTTTATATAGTGTCTTAACAGAAAGGTAGCTTAATTAGGACTAAACGTGAACTTGAAATGGTTTCAATCTGAAGTTGGAGTGATTTATATGAAGCATTCATGGAATATTTACTCTTATCCCAGAGCTCAAACTGGGCTGGTTCTCACCGACACACTAGCCTGTCAATTCTTTTCACAATACCAGGAATTATTCTTGCGTAGCGGCAGATTATGAGAGAGCCAGTACACATTCTCTTCTGTTTCTGCTCTATAAGACTGTCTGTCCTCTCAGTCTGACTGTTAGTTTCACAAGCCAAAATGTTGACTTTCGACACTAAATCAGCAGCATAATATAGCTTATTCTGGCCAAAAATCATTCATTCAGATATAAAGAGGTTGCCTGGCTGACATTTGAAATTACCAGACTCATTTTACTTGATTTTACATGGCATTTAGGGGTTTGGCAAACATGCGAGAGATGTCATTTACTCTGAGTCATCTGCCTCAATAGTTTATATATAGACTAAAGTTTGGGGTCAGTAAGATTTTTTTTAAAGAAATTAATACTTTTTCAGCAAGGATGTAATAATTATAACATCACAAGAATAGATTACATTTTAAAAAATATTTTTCTGTATTCTGATCAAATAAATGCAGAATTTGGTGAGCATAAGAGGCTATTTTCACTTGTTTTTTTTTTTTTCCCTTTTTAATGATATATCCCAAAATATGTGTCAGTGTATATGTCAAATGTATTTGTATATAAGTCCGATTATATTTATATAAATATATTTATAATATTTTATATAATTTAGTGTGTAATATAATATTATTATATGTTATATTGTAATATGTTATATTGGCCAGTCTTTAAGAATCGCACAGGGGGGGAAAGTGTCAAAATAGGTAAACTGTTAAGTTTACTGTTAGTCACCTAATATACATATATAAACAAGTAAAGTCCCAACACCTATTTTACCCCCGCTTCAAGCACTGGAGTAACACAATTCTGATATCATTTTGATGAGTCTCAAAAACATAGCATACAGTGAATGCATATAATCACAAAGAGAGTGTGTATATCTGTGCTGGCAGAAGTAGAGCTTTAAGAGTTCTGTGGATAAAACAAGACATGTTCTGTTCTGGTGTAAAGAAACATTTTATGAAAGCGGAAATCTATGAAATTCTGCACCATGTTGGTCACAGATGTTTCCCTGACATCTTACCAGCTAGTTATCTTCCATTGTTGTGTTTTTCGCTTGCAAAACCACCTTGTTAAGAAGCGCAGCTTGAAGGAAGGACGGGGAAAGCGAACAGCACAGGGCTTCTGATTTTCCCAAGCGCTTCCTCTGGTTTTGCTCATTTCTGACAGGGAACAGAAAATGATGTCTCTCTGTGTTGTGGCTGAATACCAGCTTTGAAGTCAGCTTGACATAAATTACTACAGTTGACATGATTGTTTGTGTGTATGCAACTGTATGTATGGGCGCCATGTCTTCGATCATTCTGTAGATAATTTAGGTCCAGGATGAGGACAAGAATATCGATTACAAAATGAAAAACATTGCTTAATTGACATCCTAAGGAGTGTTTATCATAATACATTCACCCAGGGCATCCTCCACAAGATGCATGTTATGTACACTCATTCTCTATGTGTATATGACAAACATACATACCTTGATTTCAATTTTAAAAGGAGAATAAACATGTGATAACCTTGTATTAGTGATGAGAAGGTGTTTGCTATTGGTGCCCAAAATCTGATGGTGAACGTTCCACCAAAATAACCAAAGCTTTATATCACTGCCCCCTAGTGGTTAAACACACCAGTGTCTGGACAGACCCCATATTAAAGAGATAGTTCACACAAAACTGAACATTTTGTCATCATTTACTCACCCTCAAGTTGTTCCAAACCCGTATGAGTTTCTTTCTTCCGCTGAACACAAAAGAAGATATTTGAAAGAATGTTGGTAACCAGACAGTTGACTGTAGCCGTTGACTTAACAATTTCTTTTTTCTACTATGGAAGTCAACAGCTACCGTCAACTGTTTAATTAATCGTCAACAGATGACTGTCAACTCATACAGGTTTAGAACAACTTGAGGGTGAGTAAGTGTTGACAAAATTGATATTTTTGGGTGAACTACACTCAAAAAAATTACTCTTTAAAGCTACTCAATTTAATTATGGACAGAGGTTCCACACAAGTAAATTACTTTATATTAACATTAATGGATCTATGTAAGCTCCTTGTGTTGTGACAACACAACTGAATGGGAAAGAATCAATGTAAAATAGTGATGTCCAACCAAATCAATGGAATTGCTTCCCTGTAACTTAAACTGGTTAAGTTTAGTGAACATGCTTTATTTAAAACTGCACTGAAAGAATAAAGTGAGCTTAATTCACTTGATTATTCAATTGAACTTCTAGAAATATAGAATAGCTATTAGCTAGTATAGCATTTAATAACATATTAAATGCTAAAATCTATATGCTCCTTCAGCCATGAATTTAACTCATTTGAATCAGTCCACAACCTAACCACATGCTCCACTCTTCTCCACAATGGTGACCCACTGTAATTTAAATGGTTCTAATAATTCCAATGTAATTGAACATTAAACACAATTACACAATATAAAGTCTTCCTCTTTTCTCATTTTCTCAAAAACACATAAAATAACACTTAATTTCAACATTTATTCTCTCTTAATTCAGCTATATGCAAAGCATGCTGGGAACAAGCACCCCCCAGTTTCAGTCACAACACAAATCATTCATGTAATCCAACACAAATGGATTAAGTAAATTTAAATTGTACATATATTTAAGCAGATTGAACACATTCAAATTAAGTTTGGACAAAATGTATAGCAATTGTGTTGCTTAAGCTCATTTGAATTAAGAAATTTGAACAAGCAACTAACTTTTCTTTCTTCTTCTGTGCAATATAAAAGCATCCCAGAACAGACTTTACGAAATACTAACAGAAATTAAAGACTTTGCCTTTAGATTAACTTTATATTTTCTTACCTGCCTGACTTCTAGCTCTAACACCATGCAACTTTCTACCTTCTTCGCACGCCATCTTCATCCAATATGTTGGAAATCAGCACATCGTTGTTGTTGTTTTTTTTGGATCGTGAAATTAAACCCTTTACATTAGTTTAACGATTGATAATTAAGTATAGTCGAAAATTATAAAGGTTAAGTTAATTAAAAGCAATACAATAGTGTTTTGGAGGTAAAATAAATATATCTGTGTTACTTTAACATAAAATATTTGGGTAAAAAGAACAGTGCCACAAAACCATTTTTTTGAGTGTATCCCTTTAAGAAAAAAAAAAGAAGGAAAAAAAAACAGTTAAAATTAACTTTGTGACCAACATTTTTAAAACTATTATTAAATAGAATGCAATCAAAAGCTCTTCTGATACTAAATAACATCATTTTTTGGGGGTTTATTAAAAAGAATATATGTTAACCATCCTGAGATGAAAAACATATCTCGTCGCAAAATGTAACTATATTATCGCTCAGCACTTTATAAAAGTGTATATATAATTATATGTATAATGTCCAACATTATTTGCATACATATAATATACTTGCGTATTATATAGCATATCTCATTATAAATATCTTACGACATGTGAAAAGCGCTATAGATAAATTTGACTTGACTTAACTTGATATTTAATGTGAAACTCATACCACTAACCCGATCAAGCCATTTAATGTAATAATGATGCACTTTAGGACTGGCACATATGATTTTTGGTTCTATAGTGCTGACCTCCTTAAAAAAAAAAAAGAGCTCTGGCATCAATCAAACACCGACTTTAAGTTTGTGGACGGTACATCTTAAATGTTTGGTGTATTAAAGTAACTCTTAAATACTTCTCTGTCTCTCTAGGGTGCTCCTGGACAAGATGGAATAGAGGTGAGCGTGCAGCGCTGTTTATGATCATCATGGCCATGGTCTTCATGGCTTACATTATATAATTGTATGTTACTTTCTTTCAAACATATTTTCTCTCTCTGCAGGGACAAAGAGGTTTACCAGGAAAACCGGTAAGTGTGTGTGTGTGTGTGTGTGTGTGTGCTCATCCTTGTGATCAAGATGTTTCTTGTTTTTTAGGTAAATGTCTTGCTTTCTCAATTTTTTGAAAGACTAAATTCTTTCCTCTCTGCATAAATTTGAACAGCATGTTTGAGTGTTTTGTCCTTTGTGCTAGTAAGCGCTTGCTGACTTTAGCTGTCCTTAAACACACTGATGTCTGGTTGCACTGACATCTGTATGATGTCTTGAATTATTTTCTGCCTGTTTCACTAGAAAGACTTTTAATGTGTAATATCAGTTTAGTTTTAGTACATGTGCATGTTTGTGAGTGAGAGGCTAAGATGAGAAACATACATGTGAGTATGTTCTTAGCCAGTGTGTTGAAGTCTCATGGGCCTGTTGTACATAAAGTCAGCATGAAATGGTGTTCGCAACCCTTTTACTTCAGTAATGTGATTTATTTCTAAGTGAAACAGGAAATAAGAAAAATGTAGAGCTGAACTTGATTTATTTTATTTTTTATCTATGAAAATTGAAAAGTGGCCTTTATATGTGGCTGGAGGGGAGGGTGACATCAGCCGAAAAGGAAAGTTGTTTCAGAGCTGAAACATTGAAACATTAGTACAAAGATCTTTCTTCAGAATCATGTGAAACTATGCAGTGTTCCCAATAAGACCGTATATTAAGAAAGTAAATAGGGTAAAACTTGCTTTTCATCTTGACTATAACTTTTCTAATTAGAAAATGTTCTAAATGCATCTTATTGATGTAATTACAGAAGTTAATACAGCTGTAATTACATGCAGGTATTTTTAAAAGTACATTTGTAAAAAAAATATATATACAGTACGGTACACACAATAAGTGTGTATTGTATCAAATGATTAATAATTTAAATGTTAGCACATAGTAGTTAAAGACACCTAATGTAAAGTAGGACTGAGCAGTTTCATGTTTATTTCCATTGTGTATTGTTCAACTGGTTGAGGTTGATATGGCATTTAGAAAGTAATTAGTAATAAGTAATGCAATACTTTTTAGAGAAAGTAATTAGTACAGTAATTTACCCAATTTTTTGAGTAACTTACCCAACACTGGACAACACTTGGATGAACGTCACAATACAGAAAAAGATCTGTCGCGACTTACATTACATCGCAAATTTAACATGGATTTTTGTGTTAACCCTCTGGTTATCTTTGGGGTCTTTTTAACCCGCAAATGACTTTTGGTCAAATTAAAAAAAAAATTCTCTTTGTCCAAATGGTATGAAACTTTCTACAGCTCTTAACACTTCATAGATCTACAAAAGAAAAAAAAAATTGGAATGATATCTGTTATTATGTTGCCGTGAAAAAAATAGTCACACTTGTTGTCTTCGGGGTCCCTGGAGACCCCGCATAGTAAATATATAATATTCATCATCAAAATCAGAAACAACGCAGATCACATGGACAGAAATGAAATGGCACACTTCCAACAATGTAAAAAACATCCACAATGCAAAATGATCATGCTCGCCACACACACACACACACACACACACACACAACCACACATACACATACACACAGAAATACATTTGTAAGGCTATAAAAAAAGTCTTATAATTTGTCAAATAAAATGCAGAACCACCACAAATATAAATTGGTGACACTGACACAACGAAAATACACACACACACACACACAGAATGTGTGTCTGCAGAAGTCATGCAACGTACTACGCATACTGCCTGCAGTGCACTGACTCGTGAACACCTCCAGTGCACCACCAATTGTTGTTCTTATTTGTTCAAAAAACAAAAATTTCCCAATCAGTTTTTTTAACAAAATAATTTTTATATTACAACCATTTTATTTTTTTACTGCTTTATTTGATCATTTGTTATTGCTGTTCAGTTCATTGCACTTTTGTTTTTTTTTCTCAATATGTAATATAACTGTTCATTTCTGTTATTTTTTGTTCTGTTACAGTTTGTAACTGAAACGTTGATTAAAAATGATAGAATTATATTAAAAACAGATAATTGAAATAAATGATAAAATCTAAAGACTCCAAGATTTTTTGTAACATCTTGTTCAGGTTTGATTCTAATCATAAAGTAACATTATTGAAGAACTTTTTTCAATACAAAATATGCTAAACTTAATACAAAATATGCTAAACTTTGACCAAAAGTATATAATTCTTTTTTATAATTTTGATTTTAAAATATTTATATATGAATCCAACTCAATCCAACTGAATCCAACTTGTGAAAAGATGTATTTTGGTTAATCAAACAGCAAATAGCATATAATGGAGCTCTATAGCAATATAGTGGTTAAAGTGAATTTTTTTATTTTAAAACTTCATTTTCCAAAAAAAGGGCAAAAATCTTACATTAAATCATGTACAATTATCCATGTTATCCCCATAAATGAAAGTTAGAAATCTGGGTCCTTTATAAAGTGAATTTTACATAAAATGCTGTTTTTTGTAAAAAAAACTATTTATTTAAATATTTATTTATTTATTTTTAGAAATTTAAAAAATATCAAAAATCCTCCAAAAACTGCACAAATGTTGAGTAAAAACATTAATAAACAGAGTAAAATTACATTTGTAAAAAAAATTGTATTATACTGTTACAAAATGCAATGTTATTGTCTGGGGTCCCTGGAGACCCCAAAGATAACAAGTGTAGACCCTAAATGAAGATAATCAGAGGGTTAAATGTCTTCGAATGTCTGTAAACGGGATGCGCTGTTATTCGGGTAGTTAGCTAGAACTTGTTCAGCCGGATTGTCTTCAAATTTCTCTAAAATGTTTCTCAAAACTGACCACAGAAACAGACTGTTAATGAATGTCTCCTGCAGCGTGACTGAGAATGTAACAATGTCAACATTCCTTCAGCTCAAACAGTAGAGCGTTGGTACTTGCAACACCAAGGTCATGGGTTCGATTCCCAGGAAAAGCAAGAATTGATAAGAATGTACATGTGTACTTTGAAATGCAATGTAAGTCATATGTTCATGCCTAATATTTCCTGCATAATTACGTAAGTTATTGGAAATATATTTTGTGTTAGTTCAGTTACCTGTGTCGGCAGTGTGCAGAAGACACACCCATCTTAACAATTTCTATATCGCTTATCCTGCCGAGAAAGACCATAAATATTACAGATAACGTTCAAAGTATCAATTCATGTACATACATATATCTTAAAACTATTTATGTGCAACTGATACCCTGCTAAGCAGGGGATTTTAGGTCGATGTTTTGGCTGTAAGTCAATGATGCCCGCTGTCGGTAGGGAATCGTAAGATGGCTGCTCGAACACTTCCAGTGGCTTCACCGCCTGCTGCCAGTTTAAAACACAAGCAATCCAGTCATTCACATAGATCAGTGGTGTTGAGGCATTTGGAAAGCAGTGACATATGATATTAAGTGTTTGTGTCTTCATCCTTGCATTTTTGGACATTTTCCTAACTGTTTTACAGGGTGAAGTTGGTGATCAGGGTTACACAGGACCACAGGGACCCCCAGGGTCAAAGGTCAGATTCTTGTTTTTTTTTTTTTTCTTCAGCAGAAATTGAAAAGTTCATAATCATGATCCAAAAACATACTATTTTCAAGGTCCTTTTCGTCCATTATGGTTTTTAAATGAGACTTCAAATAATATTTTGTACCTATTCATTTGTGTAAATACCTATTAATCTTCTGTTATGCACTCTTTCATTTTGTTTCTTTCAATCCTCCCATGCAGCATATTCTTTGGGTTTGATCATATGCTCAATTTGACCATAGCCTCTTATTACCTAATCATTAGCAGCGTAATAAGAATGATTTCATAGTGTAATGGACTTCATATGGATCCGACTGCTCTGTTCAAGAATCTTTTGTTGCAGTCTCATTCTCTGCGCTCTGTTCTATATTAATTTAAATGCTCTTTATACATTTGGCAGGGCGAGCAGGGAGAGCCAGGTCCTCAGGGTGACCGAGGAACCGATGGTCTGCCAGGCTTGAAGGTGAGCGCTGGGTGAAGCTATTTCTGTTTTATATATTTATATACAGTGATTTCTACAAAGACAGGACTTACAGTAAATGGGTAACATAAGTGTGATTGATTGTGTTGGTTTGATTTGGGCTTTGTATTTCTCAGGGAGATAAAGGAGATGTTGGAGAACAAGGACCCCAGGGCGAAACGGTGAGGAATGATGCATCATACGGCAGGCATCTATGGTTCCATGAAGAACCCTTTAACAGCCATGGAAACTTTTCATTGCACAAAAGGTTCTTAATAGTGGAAAAAAGTTATTTAGATTATTTAAATGTTCTTCATAGTAAAAAAAAAAATCAAGAAATGTTGACTAAAAGGTTCTTTGGGGAGAACCAAAATGATTCTTCTATTACATAAATGCAAAAAAAGCTGTAAAGAAGATTAACAATCAATGAAACTAACTAGGAACTAGTAGAGACGGAGCCACATGCTGCATCCCAATTCGCATACTATCCGTCCTAAATAGTATTCAAAAATAGAATTAGTACGTCCCAAATCGTAGTATGTTGAAATGAGTGTTCCAAAGATACCCGGATGGACTACTATATCCGGTCAGAATCCGAAGTGCAGATCGGTGCACACTCTAACGGCTAAAATTGCCCACAACCTATCGCACGTTGAATGAGGATTTGGTCAGAACTACAAACACGAGTGAAAAGTGTTAAAAAAAAACTACAGACATGGAGGACGCGCGAGTCCGGCGGTTATGTAGAGAGGTTTAGATAAAGGGATTTGAGTGATTAATTATCAGTATCTAACCTGATTCAATGTTGGCTACATTATATTGCATCTGCAGCATTGTGAACTTTTGTAAAGATACGTTTAGCCATTACCTTTTAAATGCATAATTATATTCAAATTGCAAACACATGAGGAGAGTCTCCGCATGAAAGTCCCACGACTGGCAGGTGAACGTGCAACAACATTTCTCTCCGAAACAGTAAGAAATTAAATTAGATTGAATGGAGGATTTTAACTGTGACAAGATGATTGACAGGGCAGTTTACGGTGACAGGATGCACACGACAGAGCTGTCCGTTAAAGATGACGAAGTAGTATGTCCCAAAGCTTGCCTACTCTTTTGCTACACACTCAAAAGTATGTACTTTTTCTTCACAAAAAGAGTACATACTTTTAGGGCGTAGTATAAGTAGGCGAATTTGGACGCAGCCACAGTGACGAGCGTCTGAAGTGGAGCCAGAGGACCGAGGTGGAGCCAGAGGACCGAGGTGGAGCCAGAGGACCGAGGTGCAGCCAGAGGACTGAGGTGGAGCCAGAGGACCGAGGTGGAGCCAGAGGACTGAGGTGCAGCCAGAGGACTGAGGTGGAGCCAGAGGACCGAGGTGCAGCCAGAGGACTGAGGTGGAGCCAGAGGACCGAGGTGGAGCCAGAGGACTGAGGTGCAGCCAGAGGACTGAGGTGGAGCCAGAGGACCGAGGTGGAGCCAGAGGACTGAGGTGGAGCCAGAGGACCGAGGTGCAGCCAGAGGACTGAGGTGGAGCCAGAGGACCGAGGTGGAGCCAGAGGACTGAGGTGCAGCCAGAGGACTGAGGTGGAGCCAGAGGACCGAGGTGCAGCCAGAGGACTGAGGTGGAGCCAGAGGACCGAGGTGGAGCCAGAGGACTGAGGTGCAGCCAGAGGACTGAGGTGGAGCCAGAGGACCGAGGTGGAGCCAGAGGACTGAGGTGGAGCCAGAGGACCGAGGTGCAGCCAGAGGACTGAGGTGGAGCCGGTGGGTCTGAGGTGGAGCCTGAGGACTGAGGTGGAGCCGGTGGGTCTGAGGTGGAGCCTGAGGACTGAGGTGGAGCCGGTGGGTCTGAGGTGGAGCCAGAGGACTGAGGTGGAGCCGGTGGGTCTGAGGACCTAGGCGGAGCCAGAGGACTGAGGTGGAGCCGGTGGGTCTGAGGATCTAGGCGGAGCCAGAGGACTGAGGTGGAGCCGGTGGGTCTGAGGACCTAGGCGGAGCCAGAGGACTGAGGTGGAGCCGGTGGGTCTGAGGTGGAGCCAGAGGACTGAGGTGGAGCCGGTGGGTCTGAGGTGGAGCCAGAGGACTGAGGTGGAGCCGGTGGGTCTGAGGACCTAGGCGGAGCCAGAGGACTGAGGTGGAGCCGGTGGGTCTGAGGACCTAGGCGGAGCCAGAGGACTGAGGTGGAGCCGGTGGGTCTGAGGACCTAGGCGGAGCCAGAGGACTGAGGTGGAGCCGGTGGGTCTGAGGTGGAGCCGGTGGGTCTGAGGTGGAGCCGGTGGGTCTGAGGTGGAGCCAAAGGACCGAGGTGGAGCCGGTGGGTCTGAGGACCTAGGCGGAGCCAGAGGGAAGGCAGAGCCTAACAGAGCCAGACAGAGCCGAAGGGGTTGAGGGACGAAGTGTAGCTGAAGGTCCCTCACTCCTCAGTGGTGGGAGTGTGGGTGGGGTCTTCCCCCATTCCCTCAAACTCCACAAGTACTCACACAGCACATGATGTTGCCGGCTCACACACCTGGTCAGACTCACTGTGGTGCTCGGGCGATGGTTGGCTCAGTATTTTTCTCTGGCGCTGACTCGTGCATCGCGGCAGACTCGGACTCTCTGTCTGCGTTGGCTCTGGCTTTATATCCGTGCAGCGAGGTGATGGCTGGCTGGCCTTAGGGTCCGTAATGGGGCTGGTGATGTCCTCCGCTGGACAGATAGTAAAAGCTGATCCATGATTCACCAGCACCCATTCCACAAAAGGGCCGAAATTCTCTCGAGGGCCATTCCATGGGAGGCGTGTAAGGGGAGACTCATCAGACCAGGCAATGTTTTTCCAATCTTCTGTATTCCAATTTTGGTAAGGCCGTGCGATTTGTAGCCTCAGTTTCCTGTTCTTATCTGACAGTGGCACCGGTGTGTCTTCTTCTGCTGCTGTTGTTCATCTGCTTCAAGGTTTGGCATGTTGAGCGTTCAGAGATGCTCTCCTGCAGACCTCGGTTGTAACGAGTGGTTGCTTGACTGTCTGTTCGAACCAGTTTGGCCATTCTCCTCTGACCTCTGGCATCAACAAGGAATTTTCACCCACAGAACTGCCGCTCTCTGGATATTTTTCCTTTTTCATACCATTCTCTGTAAACCCTACAGATGGTTGTGTGTGAAAATCCCAGTGGATCAGCAGTTTTTGAAATACTCATACCAGCCCATCTGGCATCAACAACCATGCCACTTTCAAAGTCACTTAAATGACATTTCTTCCCCATTCTGATGCTCAGTTTGAACTTCAGCAGATCGTCTTCTTGACCATGGGTGTGTCTCAATCAGCTCCCTAGTTCAGTAGTCAGGACACTGATCAGGGAGTCTGCCATTTAAAGGGCTTTCTCAATCGCAAAATCTTTCCAGTGCACTGTTCCTCAAAAAGTCCCACAATTCACCGTGCAAACCAGGAAGCATAAATACATGTCTCACTAATGTTCCCTTAACGGAAGTTCTGACACATGAAACATAAATCAAGTCAAAGTATTTATCATAATGTACTTTAAATAACATTAAAACATAATGTCAGAAAGAAATCAGTTCTGCTGTTGGTCATAAATACCAGTGGTGATGTTGTACAATGAGGACGTTGTCATTTTTAATACATTAGAATTACAAAACAAAACCAGAGAAACACCTCTCCACATCTGAGAATACTTGCAGATTTGTGTGGTCAGTTGTGTAACGTGTTTTTTCATCCCGGCAGGGCCTCACCGGTGAGAAAGGCACATCAAAATCTGGTGACATCATTGACTTTAATGGCAAACTCTTAGACGCCTTTCAGGTAAGTTGTGATTTTATTAATGATACTTGCTAAAAAAAAAATCTTCTCAACAACTTATAAATCTGTTATTTTTTGCCAGTTGGTCATCTGGATTGATGTAAATAATAATGATGTTACTGGTTAGACTTCCTGTAATGCAACTATGTAAACCACAGATGACTATAAATTCATGGTTGTATTAAAACCAAATGCCATTATGTGTTCTGAAATCTGAGGTCTGACATTAGTTGATATTTTTTTTTCTGGCAGGCCATCAAAACCATCAGTGTCTCGGTAACTGTAATATAGCATGGGTTGCCAGTTCTGCTTCTTTTTTTCTTTTTTTTTGGTTAAATATGCAGCCTGATCCTAATCCTTAACAAATACTCACTGTATCTGCGTGTGAATATAAAACGGTTCATAATCATTTTTTTTGTGCAGTTGCCAAATTAAACACTATGTAAATAATGTTGTTTTGTATTATATATTATTAATGTAACTACTATTATTATTATCAAAGTCTGTAGCGTGCATGCAACATTATGTTGTAAGACAGTGAAGTAAACATACAAAATTAAATTTAAAATAATTTTTTCAAATAATTAGACTTTACTTGGCTATGTAATATACCAAGACTTGTGAAATTAGATGCAATTAGTAGCAAATGTTGTTAAATGTGCATATTCTTGTTCTGAGAATGTGTATATGGGTTGTTTAATGAATGGTTCTTGTGGTTACATTCATTATAATGTCTGTTTAAATGTTCTGGATGATGCCCTTCTTTGAAAGTCTGTGTTTTGTCACACAGCAATTGGGAAATGGGAGGAAAAATTTGGAAATTTGTTATTTTTGACATTTGCAAGGCTTTGTGGTCATCTCTATCAACAGTGTAATCAGTCTGAAATGTTTATCGGACCACAAACCTTGCCAGCTCATTGTACGGATACATTGAAATATGGTGTCAAGGAAATTTAAAAGATCAGCCAATAATTATGGTTTGTATCAGACTAAAGAATAGCAATATTTCCTTCGAAGAATGCCATCAGCATTGTTAAGGGATGTTGTTTTCATACTCCAAAAGTTTCAGATCCCACAGGGTTGATTACACATTAAGAGTTATATTAGAACAACATTTCCCTGTTTTATAGCAGTCGTAAAATGAGGTCTATCTATTTTGGTTCTCAAAATGCAAAAGTGGGTTTTCCAAAAAGACCATTTTATAAGCTTTAATTCTGTCTGTTCCATTTGCTTCCCAAATAGGGACCACCTGGGCCTCCTGGACCCCCGGGACAACCAGGAAAAGAAGGTCCAAAGGTGAATTTCATTCACATTTTTATCAATTTCCACAGTGTTAAACTCTTAACGAGTGGCTCGGTTGGAACGTGTGATTGTCAGAGACGATGCAAGTCACTGAGTTTGAACTAATTAATAGCATAATGAGAAATATCAATTATGTTCTTCTCTCTGTATGTTTCATTCATCCAAACAGGGTGAACTCGGCTTGCCTGGGCCTGCTGGGGTTGATGGCGAAAAGGTGATAATTCGTTCAACAACCCATTTAGAAGAATATCAGTTCTTAAAATATACACTTTTACAAGGACAAGAACAATTGAGTTCATTAAATGTTAATGACTAATTTAGATCTCTGAGGTTCATGCAAATGAATTACACATCAATATTTGGATTCATTTGATCATCAGGGTGATAAGGGAGACACTGGAGAGCCTGGTGAATTTGGAGAGAGGGGGGAGAAAGGAGAAATGGGCCTGTCTGGTCCCTCTGTATGTATACATTTTTTCCATTTTCTCCTTCTAAATATTCTCATACATTTTTTTTATCATATTGTTGATATTAATTAAATGTGTTTTATAGGGAGTGGATGGGCAGAAAGGAGAGAAAGGAGACTCTATACTAGAAGACAATCTGGTTAGTACAACTGCACCCGCATTTATTGACTCGTTCATTAATACTCTAGGAGTGCAGTCATCTTCAGCTTTGTTTTTATGACTATCTACAGGTTCAGATGATTTCACAGCCGGGACCACCAGGGCCTCCAGGTCCACCAGGACAACCTGGATACATGGTGAGACACCTTTTAGACTTATATGATATTTTACTTTCAGTTAATTTGATGACATCTGAGAACAAATATGATGACTGTTGACAATTTTACAAGATTTTTTAAAAGTGACTGCCATAAAATGGAATGAATGCGTCATTTTAATGTATCATGTCTTATGTTAATGTGATACAGATACAAATCAAAGGATAAATAACACATGTAACCAAACTGTACTTAGCCTAAAAATATGTTCTCTCTCTTTTTTTTCCCCCTTTTTTTTTTGTTGCTTTGATGGAGTTTAAATGCCATCTGCAAGATCATGATTTTAAGAATGATATAATAACATTATTCAAAGTTTGTGACCGTTATTATGTGTGTTTTAGGGTCATCGTGGCATGCCAGGCACCAAAGTAGGTGTTTGTTTTATTTTATTTTCAGACTTAAAACAAAATCTATTCATTCATGGATTCCTAAATTGAGTGATTTATCCAACTTTTTACTTTGACATGAAACGCATCATACTACTTTGAACTCCATAATAAATATCTGGAGATATCCAGTGAAGTCTATAAACGCTGTATTGAATCTCTCGCAGGGTGATCCAGGGGAGAGTGTTAAAGGAGAGAAGGGAGAAAACGGTGCTTCAGGAATACAAGTGAGATCATCTAATCCCATAATACACTAGTCCTGGATTTAAAAGCAAAAGCCATATTCACATAGATGTACGATTGGCCTGTGGATGTTATGAGTATGAAGTTGTCCATGGTAGTAGTAAAACGTTGTACAGTCCAATAAATTGATTCCTTGGAAGCAGCAGTGTGCCGACTTTTCTTTACTCCCTTATGAAGTTATCCATGTTTATAATATATGTAAGCTATAACCATAACATATCCGATGGTTTATACGTATTGTTATGTTTTATAGGGCCTTCAGGGTCCTCAAGGGCCCCCGGGAGCAACAGGATTAGTTGGTCTACCCGGCACAAAGGGTGAAAAGGTAAACAACTAATCACTATTTGTAATGGCAATTAGGTTTGAACAAATGTATTTGTGCTAACTATTTTATTTCTTTCAGCTCCTTGTCTAATTTAATATTTGATTTATTTATTTTTTATTGCACTTTGTGGTTTTTAAAGTGATTCATAAATACATTTTTATTTGATTTGATGAATGTGAAATGTAATGTAAAGTAATATGACAGGTACTTGTATTGGTACTAAATGTAGCTTAAATTATATATTTTTTTCGTTCACAGGGAAAACCAGGGGAACCTGGATTAGATGTAAGCAGCACTATCTATCTATCTATCTATCTATCTATCTATCTATCTATCTATCTATCTATCTATCTATCTATCTATCTATCTATCTATCTATCTATCTATCTATCTATCTATCTATCTATCGTTCGTAAGTTTTGATGTTCTTGTATTGCAGGGTTTTCCTGGCCTTAAAGGAGACAGGGGTGAGCGTGGGGAGAGAGGAGAGCAGGTGCTGTATCATATTTACCTCAGAGAATCAATGAAACTGTCACAGATGTTCAATAAAACAGCGCTTTATTTACTTACTCACTGTACATAGTCCTTTACTTCAAGTGATCTTCTTGAACTCATTCCGATGGTTGGTCCTGTTCACAGGGAGATCGCGGTCCTGTTGGAAAGAGAGGGCTCAAGGGAAAGAAAGGCGAACAGGGACCTCCGGGTCTGGACCAGCCCTGTCCCGTGGTGCGTGCTATAGCTACTTTTGAAATGTTTATATGTGTTGATGTATTACAGATTCATACTGCTGAAAATCAGGTGAAAAAACATGCCGGGTAATTCTGTCAGGAAGGACAATGTTGTGCCCATCTGGGCGCACAGACATATCACAGACATCTTTTTTTCCCTTTTCCACATTTCCTCGCCTTCCTTCTGTATGTTTCTATAGACTGCTGTTCCGTTTCAGCTTCTCTTTGATTGGGCTCTCCAGAGTGAGTGTGTGTGTGTGTTTGTTTTTAGTCATTATGGGAGTGTATATTCTGTATGTATGCTCTCGCTGACAGGGAGGTGATGGATGTAAAAAAGAGGCGGTGGAAATGGGGCAGCCGGCCCCTGAGGCCCCCTGCCCACTGGTACAGTATATCTGCCTGCTCTCTCTCTCTCTCTCTCTCTCTCTCTCTCTCTCTCTCTCTCTCTCTCTCTCTCTCTCTCTCTCTCTCTCTCTCTCTCTCTCTCTCTCTCTCTCTCTCTCTCTCTCTCTCTCTCTCTCTCTCTCTCTCTCTCTCTCTCTCTCTCTCTCTCTCTCTCTCTCTCTCTGCCCTGTTTCTGACACTTCCTTTTTAACTACTCCTTTTAAACTATCTGTCACCTACATAAACAGTTCAAAAGTTTGGGGTCAGAATGATTTTTTTTTTTTCATTTGAAAGAAATTGATACTTTTATTCTGCAAGGCTGCATTAAATTGATCAAAAGTGACAGTGAAGTGATTTTCATCACAGGAATAAATTATATATATATTTATTTTAAAATGTAATAATATTTCAATTCAAATTCAATTCAAAAACATTTAAATCTTCCCAACCCCAAACTTTGTATTTAAGGGTTATAAAATCCAAAGCTGATGCATAAAAAAAAAAAATTAACTATAAGATTCACAAGAAACATTGTAACTTATCAAGCATTATGTAATGATCTGATATGATTTAATTAGTGTTACTTACTTCATAACACCTTAGCATTATTGTGATGAGTTTGGCAAGCATGTATGTACAAATCTAGTTTTTTTGTTGTTGTGATCGTTTGCTGAGTATGAGTTTTTAGGTTGATGTCTTCTATTTATTATTACAAAATAGAATAAAAATGTACGCATATATTTTTTGATCAAAAACGATTCGAATTTTGTGTGCAGTGTATGTTTGCAGGCAATGATACCAATTTAAATGGCAATATATATATTTATATTATTTATTTATTATTACCATTTTAACACTTTAATTTGTTCAATAAAATTGCAATTGAAAATCGATTATCTGCTCTTACACTGATTTTTTTTATTTATTATTTTTCAAGGGTCCTGATGGACTTCCAATACCAGGTTGCTGGCACAAGGTCGGTAAAAAGTAAAAAAAAAAAAATGCATTATGAGACTAGAATATACCATAATAACAGTGTCTGTATAGTTCATGTGTGTGACTTTAACATTAACAACTGCCTATTTAAAATGACCTGACTGCAGTGTGTTCAGTACACGTAAATGCCACATAGCTGTTATATGTTGCATTTTCAGATTCTCATTTTGGATTCTTTTGGTTTTGCTCATGACTAATATCGTTTGTTTGTTGTTCTTTTGCAGTGATGTGTAACCTGAGGCATGTCGTCTGTACATATTGATGTGATATATATTGGAATTTCATACAGCTTTTTCACTTTTTAAATATTTTTACATTTTATAAAGACAAGAGACTTCGATGAACACTCATCAGTGTTATTTTTTCTTTTTGACCAAATAGTGGATGCTGTTTTTGCATTGTTTGGGTTATATATATATATATATATATATCATTTTTTGAATTCCTGGAGCATAAGATGACAGCATTTTCACCATCAGCTGCCTGTAATGAGCTCGGGGAATGTTTGCATGGGCATGCTGGACCGACCCGCTCAACTGGTGCCGATACAAGAATTTAGCATCACATCCCGTTTTGTTTTTAAAGGAGCAGGGAATGCTTCAGAAACTCAAGAGGAAACGTCTCTCCCAGCCTTGAAGTTCTTCAAGAACCCGAGCAGTTTCAATGACTTTACGGTCCCTCAAGTGACGGTATCTCAATAATATTGGTTAATATTGACTGCCCTCAATGTGCAGGTCGAATGAGGGTGCAAGCAGCCCTCGCTATGGTCAATATTTTTCATGGAGGATCATAATTGAGCTCTTGGAGATGATTAGAGATCAGGGATTGGCCTCATGGATGCAGTTGCTCCATAGGACAGTAACAGCAGCCTGAAATAAGAGGCTTTGGCATGGAGGTGATACAGAACAGATCGTTATTTTGAGAATTTTAATGAGCAGTAATTTATAATGATTTCATTCTTATGTGTTACTGTTTTATGCTTGGGGTTTTTTTGTAGTACAAAGCATCAGGAATTGACGCCCAAAGACTAACTTTTGGATGGTGAGCAATTAAATATTAATGCAAAAATCATTTTCATTAAAATAAATACTACATCTGTTTTAAATCAGCACAGCTTCATAGTGAGCGAGAATAGTGTGTTATATTGTACCTGTTTTTTTTTTTTTTAATACTACTGTTGCTCACATTTGTTGTAATGCTTTGTATTTGAAATGTAACTACCTGCCGTTGTTTATAACGTCATGATCTTTGATACATATTCCATATTATTGTTCATAGTAATTTATGGTATATAACGATATGCTTTTTGAAGATGGCAAAACTGGCGTTTTTGTAACCTCAGTTCAACCATCGTGAGGACTCAAGTTTAAGGCTGTTTTTAAAATTGACAAAGTATTGCCTTATTATCTTTCATATCATGAAGCAAAGAAAACATTAGAGATTCCATTTTATCAATCTCATTTTGTTTCTTTGGTTTTCCGAGATTTAACACAAAGACATCCAGACGAGATGTTTTTAAAGACGTTTTTAAGCATGTTCAGCATACATTTCCATTATGGTGTATCCTCTTTCGGGATTTTACAACCATTCTACATAAGCTTTCTCGAATATTTATTGTTAATAATCAAATAATCAGTGGTCAGTTCATATAAAGGATCTTGTATGCATTAACTCATATGTTACAGATGACGGATTTGGATTTTTAGAAGCCTGTGGTGTCAATTGGCTGACTAAATGTTCTGAGTAACTATATTGTGATTTACATAACTGTAAAAAAAAAAAAAACTTGTTTGACCAATAGTATTATAGCGACAATTCAGAAACAAAAGAAAATGGGAGGACATTTTGAGATTATTTTATTACGTTTTTGGTTTTTAGTTGTTGTTTTTTTTACGCAAAGAATGTTTCATTTTGAAGGTATTGGAAGATTTTGCTGCTGAAATAGTATTTGTATTTAATGGTTGATGTTGTGGGGTAAGGAAAACAACCTTACCAGCTGCCTGACAGCCATTACATGCATTACATGCTTTTGAAGATGTTTTATAAAATAGAAATTAAAGTTTGATACTAGTAATCTTAACTTGCCTGTCCTCTGACCTTGGTCTTGGTCAAAAAGCCGGGTGCTGGTGGCGTCTCAACAGTTCTCCACAATCCACATTCTGCTCTGAATGTTTCTCAGATGCTTTTCATGGTCCAATCAATTCCTGGTGTATGAAATCACATCCTACTTTTTCCATGATTGCATGAATATTCCTTTACACTTGGAAATATGTCACATTGGGGTGCAAATTCATGTTGACTTTAAATGCCAAGGTAATTAAGAATTGCAGAAACTTTGCTTATTTTAGTGGTATCACATGAAATCATGTGTTTCTTTCATTGGAAAATAAATCAAATATCTCAATCAAAATGGTTCATTGTGCTTGACAGCGATGTTTTATTATAGGAATCAAATACTCATACTGAGCATTATGAACAGGTAATATGTGATACACAACACGTGACTGGCGTTAGACAGTTTGGCCTGAGATGCAAAAGCCACTTCGGTCTTACAAAATAGAAGATCCCAGCACTATGGAAAAACACACAACAACGGGTAAAGTTGAGCACAGAGTGGAATATTGTAAAGCCAAAGCATTTCCACTACAAATATACAAAATAGCAACAGTGAAATGATTCCAGCTTCAGCATACACAGCAAACCTTCAAAACAGTGCTCGGCTGTAGTGTGCAATACAGAAAGAAAAAAACAAAACCATGTGAAACCCAGTGATAGGAATGAGGTGCTTTCAGCATGCTGGTATAAACAATGCTGTAGCTTATTGCACACGGGGCACCACACATGACAAAATATCACAGCAATATCTCGTCATTGATGCATAAAATAAATTAGTAATCTGAACTAAATCTTAAAGTTTAGTTAAGTCACAAAAATGGCGCTTAAACATGTTTCAACTATGTAGAAAGATGGATACCTGACTGTTTTGTCAAACCTGACTTATTGATTGCATGTTATGTAGTGGCAATGAACAGATGCATGCAACAGTATGTTATGCTGTCGGTGTGCTTTAAAACTACAACGTGCTGCTGTCACTGATGAAACCCATCAATCTAATGGAAAATGATGTTGAAACGGGTTTAACATACACATGAGCTTTTCAAAATGGTCCACAAAATTCAGATTGACTGTCAACAGATATACTCACGAATGCATCTCATTCCTAAAAACACAGAAGCTTTTCGTTAATTATGCATATTTTCACTGCAATTCCAGAGTGGTAAATGTAAACCATAACAATCAAAAGCAATCTGTCATAGCATACACTAATAAAAAAAGAATAAAAAATAAACATTCAAGATTTTTTTTTTTTTTTATTTTGGCGGGGGATGCAAATAAAAAGCAACTATCCGTGATGCTTGGCACTAATGTAAGAGATTCTGTCTCTTATCTAATTTAAAGGGAAATTCTATTCAAGTGATATAGGGAAACGGATACGTTTGTGTGTGGTTATGGTTATTCACAAGAGGCCATAAAATGGCAAGTGACAGATCTGTCAATTTGTGCTGTAACGTGTATATAAAAAGGCGAGGAAGCTTAAGAGAGTTGAAGACTCGTGGAGTTCAGAAGCCGGAGGGAGTGAGAATGTTCATGTCTCGGTGTCTCAGTCTGTGACAGGATGTTTTCTTTCCATCCTCGCCGCTCATCATCTCGATCTTGGGAGAATTGAATTTGGCAGGATCTTCAACAGTGAGGTTAATCTGGGTCTTTATGGCATCCATTGTATTGGACTTCTGAATCCCAAAGCACGACTGCAGTGTGACTCCCCCTGTAGTCACAGAAACAAAATATTTTTCATTAAAGTGCCCATATTATATTAAAGGTTCCTAATTTTGTTCTAGAGATCTCCTACGATAGGTTTACATGCATCCAATATCAAAAAACACTCATTTTCTCATAATATACACTACAGCATCATCTCTTTTCTCAGTGTCTGAAATGGTTCGATAAAGGATTCAGTCTCTTCCGTGGTTCGCAGGCAGCCAATGAAGACCATAAACATAACTTTGAAACTTTGCAGGGCTTTAACATTCACAAACAGCTATATTACACACTGCATGAAAGGTAATATACAAAAAACCATAATAGGGGCACTTAACAGTCTTCTTGTCCAATTGTGAATTCCTGAAAATTTGGTAACAAAATCCATGCTCAATATTTTCACATTTAGCATAAAGGAAAAACAAACAAATCTGAAGTTAAATTAGGCCTCTTTAAAGCTAGAATTAATAACAGAGCCATATAACAGGTTCTTGCCAGGAGTGATGCTTTCTGATCCTGGGTCAGTGGGGGATTTCTGCACGATGGGCCGCACTCCGAAGAAGCTCCATCGCTCTCCTCCCCGTCCTCCTCCTTCATTACCACCCATCGAAATGCTTGTGATAAGACTGCTGGAGTCAGACAGTATCAGGGGAGAGGACTCTGGCTAAACCAGCGCCTGTCGGGAGAAAAAAAAAACAGATAAATCAGTACATGGTAGTTTATTCGATAGTACTTCACAAATCCAATTATTTATAAACAGTCTATAAACCACAAACATGTCTGTGAAACTGTTTCCACCTGTGCGTGATGTTTAGGGTATGGGCGGAGGGAAAAAGTGATGGACGGTGCTGATGTTGAAAGCTTGTCCTCTCTGAAGTCCTCGCTTAGCATCTTCAACTCCTGTAAAAATAAAGAAAATAACAGTTTAATATGTAACCAGTGGTGCGTCACAAAAATGCAGTTCACTCCCATTGGAAGTGTATTATTGTTATAGTGCTATAAATAGCAGCAGCATTGCAAAACAACCTGACACATGTCTAATCATCTAGCACTACTTCAAAACATAAACGTTTGTTATCTCAACAAAAAAATCTGAACTGAACAGAAATTTTGAACAGACAGTAAACCATCACCACCCACAGAGCTTAAAAAAATGAACAACAGTAACATTAAACATAAATATTGAAGACCTCAAATGATGTGCTGTACACCAGTCAAATGATAACGTTATCACCTAACTGTTCACAATAGCTCAAGTGTAGCATTAAACAGCTGATAGTAACATAATATATATCATATAGTGACGTTAATCCAGCTCTCTTGCCATTTATATCTGTGACATACTGAATTTAATCTCGCTTCTGTAGTGTTTAAATTGCTGTAATCCTAACACTAGATGCTTCAGCTTCCCAGCGCTGGTAAACAGGCCGTTGTTTACAACATAGAACCCACCTTTTCCGCTCTATAGCTCGTTTATTATCTGATCCAGCGGGGTCTTCCATTTGGTCCATGGTTATTAAATTAAATATTTGTTGTTGATATGCTGATGAAATCGAGATAACACCGAAAAAAAACGTCGTTAAATAGGACTGTTAAAATAGCGCAGGAATGTCCAATAGAGAACAAGAACAACGAGTACAGCCAAAATGAAGGACAGGAAGTTCAATGTTTCCGAATAAAAGTCCCCTGCAGGAGTATGATGAGGGTGTGACTTCAGACACACCTCCAGCACAGCCCAATCAAATCGCAACAAATATGATTTCTTTTTTTTTTTCTAAGGCTTCAACACACCCCAGTTTATATTTAACGTTACATGCCAAGTGAATAAAAATAAAAAGGTAGGCTAACTGTGACTTTTTTTCCCTCACAATTCCTTTTTTCCTGCGCTGGCGGGAAATATCTCACAATTCTGACTTTAGTTCTGACTGAGGCAGAATTGTGAGATAAAAAGTCTAATTATCTTCTGCATTTTTTATTCTGTGGTGGAAACAAACTTCCATACTGTTGTGATGAACCAAGCTCATCAAACAAATCTAACATGTGTGTTACAAATGGCCCCGCCCTACAAAGTAAAACCTGAAATTTTTTACATTGTAGGAATGTTTAACCGGGCCCCAAGAAGAAAACAGCTCATAAATCATACTAAATGAGATTTCAATAAAAAAAAATTGAAACCATTTACACCTATGGATGGAGAGTCTCTACACGGTGAACAACAAGTTTGTTTGTTTGTGGTTCAGGTATACCCTATGTTATTATGGGGACAAAATGTCCCCACAAAGTTGGCAATAGCCAAAATCCTTATAAATTATTCTAAGTTAGGCCTAGGTTTAAAAAAAAAAAATTATGTAAAAGGGCAATTCTTAGACTATGGGCACTTTCATGTCCTTTGATCATATTTTATAAAAAACATTTAATTTTGAAAAATTCACACTTTCATAGTTAACTTTACAATGAAAGTACTTTAGAAACTTTTTACCGGTAGTCTACGATGATTTTTTCACCTTTTTAAACATCATTATAGATGCAAATATTGCTGTTTTGTGCTTGTCCCACACCCAGACTTCTGATCTTCAATAATGAAAAAGAAGTGTAAAAAAATTATTTATCTATTTTTTTTTAATATGACTGTATACAGTATCAGTAAAATAATCAAAACATAATTGTGGTATTTAAGGTCAGACAACTACCGGTATTAATGTGATTTTATATACAAAATGTAGTTGTCCCACAGTATTGCCGTCATTTCCACCACAACGCTGTAATGTCCCTTTAAAAGGTTTTTTTTTTTTGAAAGATTGTTTGGGTAGTTTCTATGGAAATGAACAATGACATCACAGCACATGTCCGACATGGAGGAGATTTTTAATTTCTGCACCAACTTGGAGAAGAAAACTCAAGGTAAATATTGCTTGAAATGAAAATATTTTTATTGTATGTAATTTCCAAACATGGCGTAACATCAATTGAGTTTGTAAATAAATAGATTTTTTTAACATAAATAGATGTATTTTGCATGCATGCAATGCTAGCTACCAATTCATAGCTAATCTGTAATACTAGCTTGGATTTTTTTTACAAAATACTGCAGGATTGTCATTTCCACCACTGTCCACCACTGTCATTTCCAACACATTCCTTCTTGGGTGGAAATGACAAAGGTGAGGTGGATTGACATTTATGCTTACAAGGTGCAATTCATAGATTGTGGGGCTACATATGTATATTTTATTTATTGAAATGTACAATGCTAATGTATTTATTCAAATATATATTTGTTGAAATGCCTTTTCATCTATTTTTAAGATGCCGCGGAAGTCAACTGCAGAAAGGTCTCAGTCCTATACCAAAACAGAACCAAACAAACTAATGACTAATGAGATTAATGATTTGTAAAATGGAATTGTCTGTTTCAGAAAGTTTCAAATAAATGTCTTCTGTTTTTCTACATGGACGTCCATTCATTGTCATTTCCACAACACCAGTCATTTCCACCCCCTCATAACTTTTTAAAAAAATATATATACAAAATTCTTATCACTCATTAAAAACTTCTGCATAGTTTATGGGATAATGGTCCACTTAATGTAATAACACAAGTAGTTATTTTTCTGAAATGTATCTAACCAATCCAATATTATATTTCAGGTTGTGGTGGATGTAAGCTTTGTGTTTGGGCCTCATGACAATTAATTTACTTAATCCACAAATCTATGGTAATTGCAAAATAGGTATAAACTGGTAATACTATGTGTGAAAGTGGTCTTACACTGTTAAGAAATGATCTATATCATAATATTTTAAAATAATAATCAAATATTTACATGTGATGGAAATGACATTTGTTCAGTGCGGATCGGAAAATATGTCAAAAATCACCAATTTGTCTTATAATGTAAGTGTGTTCTCTTATGGATCATTAAACTAGACTAGTTATATTTAACTGTCAGACTGTGACAATTTTGATTTAAACAGTTTTTACCCCCTCAAGTTCACAAGGCCAAAAGTGCCTGTAGTTGAAGAACCACCCAAAAATGCATTTAATTTTTATGTAAAAAAGAAAGATTTCTGTAATTGGTAGGTTTAGGGTTATGGGATAGAATATACAGTTTGCACAGTATAAAAATCTATGGAATGTCAATGTCCCCATAAAACACGAAAACACAACGTGTGTGTGTGTGTGTGTGTGTGTGTGTGTGTGTGTGTGTGTGTGTGTGTGTACAGGTTTGGCTATACCTGTGACGTGAGGGCCAAATGTCCTCACTTTTATAATGAAATAATATGACAACCAACTAGTGAGGACATTTTACTGGTCCTCAAAGGGTAAATGCTTATAGATTGGCCTAAACATGTTTTTATTTCAATCTAGTGTTTTGCACATATTTCTGTGATGGGTGTATAGGTTTAGAGGTAGGGGTTGGGTTAGGCCATAGAAAATATTATGAACCTGAGATAAAAACAATGAAAGTCTATGCAATGTCCTTACTAATATAGTGAAACAAACTTGTGTGTGTGTGTGTGTGTGTGAGAGAGAGAGATGTCTTTGCCTTAATCAAAGTCTACATTACAGGAGGAATATGAGCAGTATACAGCCAGGTGTCTGTCCAGTTGAACGTGCAAATCGGCATCAAGACACAAAAATAGCTAAATATTCCACAAAGTTTTATTTTTAAATTATAACAAGAAAAAGTAATAATAACAAAAATAATAAGAAGAATAATTGATGGAAATTTATTTCTGACATCACATGGAAGGCACTGCATTACAGCATATTTTGCATAAAGGGCAACTTTTTTATTTTTATGAAAGAAACTGAAATTAAAGGCAAATAAAATGACAGTGACTTTTTTCTGACTTCCTATGGAATCTGCAATAACAAATATTTACATCCACCACAATACATAATCATTTCAATACTAAACATTATTATCAATATAATACAATTCATGTAAAAAAAAAAAATATTAAGGCATTGCATTTGAAATCTTAACACTATGAATAAATAACAGTTTACCTACAACATGAAAAATCTAACAGATATCCAGTACATTGGTCATAGTTTTCCAAAACATTAAGCATGTTAGGAGAAATTATAATTCATTGTCCAGAGATTTTCTTCCCAAATGACTGACCAAAGAAAAAGAAAAAAAAACGTTAAGATACACATTTACATGTTTATAGGTTATTTAATAAACCTAAATACATTCCCTGGGTTCAAGCGTTATCTAAAAAGGTAGAACGATTTTCTCTCTCTCCTTTAAGAATTCAAAATCAAAGCACCATATTTAATTTGAAGTCATTCTTGTCCAGCATCATCACAAACATTCTTTAAGACAGGTTATTTTTACTTGTTGTATATACAGTACATACTATAAATAGTGTGTATGACTACACAGGATTTAACCTAAAAAGAGCCCAGTGCTATATAGTTCATATGAGTTTCTGAACTATTATTGCTATGAAAACAATCTTGGTTTTTTTCTTGTTTCCTGAGTACAGATTAACCATAGTACTCAACTAAATTGTACTGACAGTGCAAGTTAGTTCACAACTAGACAAATCTATGACAAAGCAACAGATGAAACTCATTTGCTCCCATTTTCCAGGTATACAATGTTACTAATGCGTGCAAAAATCTACATTTCATATTCTTGTTGCAAAATATTCTTTCAGATGTCCCATGCTCTTGTTGGATTATAATGCCATACTTCAAAGTTTTTTGTTATGTCTTTTCTCTGAGGTCTCTAGGCAAATGTAACACATGGCACAGGAGTAGTGGAACTGCACCCCCTGAAAAACACTGAAGTTAGAGGAAGGTATCCTCAACTCTGTGTTCAAGTCAATAAGGCAGACATCACTTTGAGTGAGGCAGTTTGATTGGTCACTCTTAAGGACATCTTAAAGGTGCAGAGCTGATCGATGTAAGCTTCACTGCAACTCAGCTCTTTCCAGAAACTTCCCTTTGGAACCTAAAACACAATCATATAAAAGTATTACTCTCTAATATATAGTTTTCATGTGACGTCACATCCTTTTAGTAGCGCCCACCTGGTTTTTACTAGTAAGACCATGATATTAAAAGACCAGATTCAATATACACCTTATTACTGATGCATATAAACAGGCACCCAGAATACAAAAGCAATGTGCAGTTTCTCAAGCGTTTTTACATAGAAAACCATTATAAAGAACAAGCTTAACCATTGAGCGCACCAGTCATGATGTGACTGAAAACTATGAGTTATTAATTATGACTTAAAAAATTATTATTATTGCTAACAGTGTTTCATAAAACTTCCTCCTTCTGATTACCTGACGTTTTGGAAGTGGCCAGTAGGGGGCTTCAGATTGGATTTCCCTTTCTGTAACATGGCTGGTGCCACTGGCAGGCCGTTCTTAGGCAGCGTCTGGATGAAACACAGCAAATATTTTATAATGTGCAGTCAAAGTCAGTAAACAGTACACAGTTACTTATCTGATCTTGAACAGACTAGACCAGGACTTGATATTCACTTTTTTTGCTCACCAGCCATTGTGGCTAGTGGCTTTCTAAAGTTACCAGCCACTCAGCATTTTCACTGGCCACAATTTTGTCATCGATACCATGAGGGAAAAACTGCCATATAGATCTTTTTAATAGTATCTCATAATTTTATGCCAGGTATATTAGGCTGCAGTCACTTTAGGTCCTGACGCATTGATCCATTATACCGTTACACACGTTTACTTTCTCAACCTTTTACATTCACCTAAACATATCTGACTGTGTTTACATGAATAGTCGGCAAGACCAGCATTGTGACATTATTTTGTGTGTATTTGACTGTTTAAATGCAATACGCAACATCAACTATATTCATTCACGTGTCAACTGGCTTTCGGAGAGAGGAGAGAGCGAGAAAGCGCAGCTGGTGTCTTGTGTTTATTCTGCGGAAAATGAGTACTGGAAGCGTTTCAGATATTTTAGTATCAATATTTTTGACAACACTACATTGCACATATTGTTTATTATTTCAGATAAAAGTGGCTAGTAGGAGTGACTGTGTTACACGCCACTGCTGAAAATAATGTCAAGCCCTGGATTAGACCTGGATTTGCTCTGGAGGACACATCACGAGAGGAAGAGACACTCACCTCTGCAGTCTGAGAGGGTTTGGTCATGGGACGGGGTGGAGGGGGTCGGTTGGGTGGTAGCGGCCTTGTTTTGGGGGGTACTGATGGAGACGGCTGGGATGGCTCTGAATGCTGTAGACTCTGCTTGTGTGGAGTGTAGGCTGGGATTGGTGGTGGTTTCACAGTGGGCCGAATGATAGAATGTCTGGATCTCGATGGACCTGTAGGACTCGCCTGAGGACATGCCTGAAGAAGGAAAAACTCTTGTTTATATACATCTGTCAAAATCACTTATTTTCCACCATCAAACTTTTTGAAAGTAATCAAGTCTGAGCCGTTTGTTTAGAAAGTGCAGTCGATATTCTGTATTTCTACATCAGTTGCTAATAAATGAATGAGAGTTGCTGTAATCGTGGAAAGACTGGTTTTGAAATCCCACCAATGTCAATGAACATTTTTATTAAAGGTCAATGTTTAACTCCTGGAATTGATTTTTTTTACACATTTACAGTGGTGTGAATAAGTTATTACCCCTATGCTAAAGTTGCCTAAAAAGAGGAATAAAAAATCATCTTTTGGAAATTGATCTTAATGCCTTAATTAGAAAAATGAGGAAAAATCCAACCTTTAAGGACACCAATTTTCTTTGTGTATGAATAATGTATCATAAATAAATAAATGTTCTTCCTTAAAATACAGGGTGCATAAGTCAGGCCCCCCCCCCCCCCCCCCCCCATGTTAAATTCCCACAGAGTCAGGCAGATTTTTATTTTTAAAGGCCAGTTATTTCATGGATCCTGGATAATATGCATCCTGATAAAGTTCTCTTGGCCTTTGGAATTAAAATAGACCCACATCATCACACACCCTTCACCATACCTAGAGATTGGCATGGGGTACTTTCCATAAGATCATCTTTCAATGCAAATCAAACCAGCTATTAGGCTAACTGAAATAACACCATGCCAATCTCTAGGTGTGGTGAAGGGAATGTGATGATGTGGGATATTTTAATTCCAAAGGCCAAGGGAACTTTATCAGGATGCATATTATCCTGGATCCATGAAATAACTGGCCTTTAAAAATAAAAATCTGCCTGACTCTATGGGAATTTAACATAGGGGGGGCCTGACTTATGCACCCTGTATTTTAAGGAAGAACATTTATTTATTTATGATACATTATTCATACACAAAGAAAATTGGTGTCCTTAAAGGTTGGATTTTTCCTCATTTTTCTAATTAAGGCATTAAGATCAATTTCCAAAAGATGATTTTTTATTCCTCTTTTTAGGCAACTTTAGCATGGGGGTAATAACTTATTCACACCACTGTAAGTATATTAAATGTTATTCATTTTCATTGTGTCCAAAATTACAGAAAAAAAACGAATTGAAATTGGAATGAAGTGCATTCCTAAAAATCTGATTTTAATTGGATTTAAAAACAAACATGGATCAGTGCTATATTGTTATAATATAAACAATGTTGTTTATATTATTTTAGTATTTAATCATATTTGGAATAAACTTTTATATTTTCAGTTTTCATTTCCATTTCAGTTTGTGGTAATGTGCTTTTGTCGTTTTTATTAGATTTTGTTTTATTATTATCTATATTTTTATTTGAGTTTTAGTTTTAGTAATTAGACTTAATTTCAATCTATTTCATTTTCATTTAAGTTTTTTAAGATGCTAATCTAATATCCATATTTTATTTCGACTTTACTTCAATTAACGAAAACAATTTTTTTATATTTTTACTTTTGGTTAACAATAACATGGATGGGTTTAGGTTCCATGTGTTTTTTTGATATTCAGACAACATTCAACTAAACCCAGAGATGCACAGAACCGTGCTATTGGATGGACACACTGCGAACACACGCTGACAACAAAACAACTTCACACCTGTTCATCAGCGTGAGGTTTCTTTGGCTGGAACACTGGGTTGGCATGACCTGTCGTGTGACTTTTAGTCTCAGGGGTGTCTGGAACACTGACAAAAAGAGAAATGACTAAATTTCTAACACACGAACAACCTAAAAGATGAAGACCACTGTATGTGTTTGCATTTAGCAGTTACTTGATGCATGTTTGAGTAGCAGGAGGGGCGGAGCCTTTGGTGGGGAGGAGCTTCTGTTTGCAACGGCACCAACAGACGCCAAGGATAGCCGATACCAGAAGAAAAAAAAGAGTAAGGAGAACCAGTACAAGGGAAAGGCTGCCTGCACAAGATAAGACAAGAACAGAAAAACATCAAAAGGACACATATAAAACAGAAGATAACACAGATAACATTAGATGAAATATTAGATGTCTGTTGACGTACTGTGCGCGATCACAGGCCCACTGTCCAAACTGCCTCCTGAACCCGTCATCTCACAAAATGGTGGTCCCCAACCCGACTTACAATGACAGTTGTGGTTATTATTGCAAAGCTGCAGGGAAACACACATAAAAAAAAAAAAAAACATTTGTTCCATTGCTTAATTTTCTTTTTCCAGTGAAAAACAATCTAAAGAAATAGCTTATCTAAAAATAAAAACCTGAATTTTAATTCGGACATACTTCTTTTGTCACATACTGTCTTTCGGATGCAGCCATGGTCTTTAAACTATTTCTTTAAACCCTACTCGCTATACAGATATCCATTCTGTATTGTAAAATAATACAATGCCTTATAAAGTCACACATAATAGCGAATGCATTTAGTGGAAATTATCACACCATTGCTGTAAGTTTAGCACATCCAAAAATAATAAGGGATTTTTTCATTGACTGTTATAGAAAGCATTTATGATATCATAGGAGGAAATGATGTAAACAGGAAATACACAGGGACTATAGCTCTGCAGTAGTCATGCATGCATAAAGCTCAGCCAGCTCTCTGCAGAAATAAGCAAAATGAACTTACCCCATGGCCATGACATTTGGCATTGCATTCATCTGCTTGCAGGAAGGACGCATTGCGGCATTCCCCTTCGAAACAGATCTATTCAGATAGAAGTGAAATGAAGTGAAATGTGAATATAAGAAGAGGTCCTCCTATCCACTCAACGATATAAAGTGACTTAAACCTATTGGGAAATCTAAAAAACCTACCGCATTCTCCCCACATTTGGTCCCTGGCAGAACCAGGCCCGGGTCTAGGGTGTCATTCTGGTTGTGTTTATCTTGACCTTGCTGGTACACATGTGTCCCTCTGCACAGGATCTTCTGTTGACCAATATAGACGTTGGTGTCTATGGCGACGGCGTTGGATTCTATTGGTTTGCTGGCAGTGCTTTGGCACTGGATCTTCCCACATTTAGCATTCCTAAACAGAGAACCAACAGCACGTCTTTGGATGGCTCAAATGATGATGTCACACACTACTGGAATAATTGAAATTAATTTAAAATTATTATTTTTTTCATGCTTTTCAAAGAAGATTTGTATGCTCACCAAGACTGCATTCTTTTGATAAAAAATACAGTAAAAACAGTAATATTGTGAAATGTTTTTTACAAATTTAAAAGAACTGTTTTCTCATATATTTTGATGACAAAAGCTGCATTTTCAGCATCCTTACTCCAGTCTTCATGATCCTTCAGAAATCATTCTAATATGCTGATTTAGACAGTTAGGTAGAATTATAAATGTCTTTACTGTAACTTTTGATAATTTCAATGCATCCTTAATTTTGTTTTTAATGGAAATTACTTTCTATATATGTATCATGGTTTCCACAAATATGTTAAGCAGCAAAACCGTGATTTTTTTTTTTTTCCACATTGATAATAATCAGAAATGTTTCTTCAAATCAACATATTAGAATAATTTCTGAAGGATCACGTGACACTGAAGACTGGAGTAATGACGCTGAAAACTCAGCTTTGCATCACAGAAACATTTTAAAATATACTACAATAGAAAAGAGTTATTTTAAACAGTAATAATATTTCTTTTTCTTTTTTTTTTTACTGTATTTTGGATCAAATAAATCCCGCCTTGGTTAGCATAAGAGACTTTAAAACCTGAATTAAGGCCCGTTCACACCAAGCACGATAACTATAAAGATAACGATAAAGATAACTATATATGCGTCCACACCAACGACTGATAACTGTCTTTTTATTCTAGGCCCGCGCGCGCCCGCGCTGCGGTTTCAAAGTAGACCTTTAAATTAGAATGGATTCTGATTGGCTGTCAGTGTTTTGTCGTTCGACAGCTGGAAAAAAATCGTTCTGAAAGTGATCCCAACGATATCGTTCCTCATATCTTTATCATTATAGTTGTGGTGTGAACTCTGTTATTCTTTTATATGGAGAACGATTTTTAGAATTATATCTTTATCGTTATCTTTATAGTTATCGTGCTTGGTGTGAACGGGCCTATATTCCAAACTTTTGAAAGGTAGTGTAACTATTTTTTTTTTTTTTATTAATATTTGAGTAAATTAATCTCACCTTTCAGTGCATTTCCTGTATGTGCCCATGAGGTCTTTGCCACAGTTTCCATAGGAATCACCTGCTACATTTACTTTAGTGAAGCAAAGATCAGGAGCAAGTCGAGCATCTGAGAAATAGAGACAGAACATTTGCAGCTGAAACAGAACAGAATAGAATAGAAACATCTACTCATGTCACAAGTAAGTTACTGGTTGTGTGAATGTTAAACTCTCGGCTGGACTCGGCAGAGAGCGGCAGATGGCATCACATTCGGAGACTGAGATCACAGCCAAGCACAGTATCTGTTCTACTGTAAACTACAGTACATTGCCAAGTGGATTTCCACTGGAAAATGTGAAAACATGGTAGAACAAATGCCAAATGAACACACTTAGCCAACATCCCTCAAAAATACAGTAAAAACAGTAACATTACTCCAGTCTTCAGTGTCACATGATACTTCAGAAATCAATCTAATATGCTGATTTGCTCAAGAATTCTTATTATTATCAAAGTTGAAAACAGTTAATATTTATATATTTGTGAAAACTGTGACTCACTGAATATTGGGTGCTTGGATTTATGGTGTTACATTTAAATTGTGTTACTTTTAGCAGATTTTAGCAGACAGACCTTTGCCCCAGAGAGAGAGGCACTGCTGCTCCAGCGTCAGACACATGCCAGTGTAACAGTAGGCACTGCCACCCGCACAACTGTTGCCATCTATCAGGTAGAAGTTAGCAGGGCAGGACTCTGATTTCCCATCACAGTACTCAGGCAGGTCACAGGAGCCTGAAGGTGGACGGCACATCACTCCTGGACTCTTCAGCTGGTCAAGAGTGCGATAGAACAAACTTGTATTCATTTAATCAGGTTTTTCTTAAAATAGTCATGTCAAGTCATCTTTATTGACATAGCGCTTTAAGAAATACAGATGGTTTCAAAGCAGTTTTACAGTGATTACAGAAAAACGATGTAATGATGCAAACAGAGTTCATTTCGGCTGTACAGCAGCTCTAAAAGAAAAAAGTGTCATTGTTCAGCTGAAGTCAGTTCAGTGTTGATTCAGGTCCATTGTAAAGATCATCAATTAATGAATTAGTTTAGAGCCAGACACTTTCAACTGTGGACATTTGTGAGAAAAAAAAAAAGATCCTAAAATGCACGTCTATGTTTTAATAATAGTATTATTTAAAATGAATGATCACTGAAAGCAAAACATTTAGCAGATATTTGAGTATAAAAGCTTTGGTGTATTAGTTGTCAAGGTGAATTAATCAATGTCAAGGCTTTCGTTCATCTTTGAAGATCTTTTTAACGAAATCTGAGAGCTCTTGTCTCTCCATTGACAGTCCATGCAACTACCACTTTGACGCGTCAAAAAGTTCATAAAGAGATCGTAAACTAATCCATATGAATTGAGCAGTTGAGTCCAAATTTTCTGAAGAGACTCGATCACTTTGTATGATGAACAGATTAGTTTAGGCTTTTATTCACATGTAAACATTGATCAGCGAACATAAACTGAAGCTCAACCGAACCTGCTTGACGCACAAGAACAAACCTCATTGGTTCTTGTGGAAGCTCAAACGTGCTGCGTAACACGAGAATGGCTTTTTCTGCGTCAAGCGAACATACCTGAGCTTCCGTTTACCACAACTAATGTGTGAGTTGATGAATGTTTATATGTGAATAAAAGCCTAAATTCATCATTCATCATATAAAGCGACAGTCTCTTCAGAAATTTGGGACTAAACCGCTCAATTCATATGGATTAGTTTTATAATCTCTTTATGAACTTTTTGAAGCGTCAAAGTAGTAGTTGTGTAGCTGTCATGGAGGGACAGAAAGCTCTCAGATTTCATTTAAACTATCTCACGGGTTTGGAAAGATATTAGGGTGAGTAATTAATGACAAAATTTTCTTTTTTGGGTGAACTAACCCTTTAAATCACCATTTTAAAAAATTCAAACTAAAAATTCTTTTAAATCCCATTTACTTATTTAAATTCAACACTTTAAATGAAACAGTTTTTCTGATGCAGCACCACAGGAAAGGGGGTCGAGAAAGAGAAAGCGTGAGATGAGTTTGCCAGGGATTCACCTTGCACTCATGACAGCAAACTCCATGTGCACACTCAGCGCCAATCTTCAGCGTGCAGTTGTTGGCATTACAACAGGGACTTGAGCACTCCTTTGTAGTAAAGGAAACAGAAACGGAAAATGTGAGCGTGAAAGATGAACCAGGACAACAGCGTGGGAGAAAACGAGACAGAGGAAGCAATGAAACTCTCTCCTGACCTCCACTTCTCCACAATCACACTCTTCTCCTTCCTCCAGGTATCCGTTTCCACAGCGCTGGCCTCCGTACATGAGCCTGGTGTTGGGAGGGTTGAACAAACACTTCCCCCCGCCGGAGCTCAGGTAGCGTTTCAGCTCCTTCTGATTGCAGGAGTTGAAGATACGAGGGAATGGAGCCCTACAGAACACGTTTGACTTTTATTTCATGTCCATTTTAAATGAAAATTCTGTCAGGTTTCATGCAGGTTTGGAATTATACAGTATTTTTTCTTTGGTTCTCACCCTGTGGCAGCAGCCATGATACAGCCTCCATCCTCGGCCTGAGCACGACAGCAACCTTGACTGTCATGGCTCATCCCAAAGTTATGCCCCATCTCATGAGCCATGGTGGCAGCGATCCCCACAGCACTGTAAGAGTGGTCCTGCAGAGAGAGGCAGACAAAACAAAAAGTGAGTCCAATAAAGGGACCATTGGCAATAAAAACACAATGGAATAACACTGCAGGTAAATGTACCGAATTGACTCCACCAGACTGGTATTCAGAACACATGGCTTTAAGAGGTGCAAGGCCAATGATGGTGCCATGAAACGACACGCCCCTACAAATACAACAAAAACTGTTTAAATACCAATAAAACTATGGCAGAATCAAATCAAACAAATGCAACCAAATGGCTAGCTGAACAACAGATGTAGACATAATGGGCCGTATCATACACTCGGCGCAACGCAAGTGTTTTATAGTTTCAGCCTGACGCAGTTATCATTTTCACGTCCTGCACAATCCGCTTTTACAGGGAGTGGGAGATGAGACTCTGATTGGTTTAATTGCACATTACGCCCAAAACACACCCATTACTCATTAAGAGAATATGGGCAACCCTTTTAGACCATGCGCTAGGCACGCCGACCATTTTTCCCGTCGTTAAACTAGCAAAAGTACGGAGCCCCCCTAGTCCCACTTTGTCAAAAAAATGTATTATAACTATCTCGTGGCCTCAAGATAAGTAACTCGTGGCCTCAAGATACTATCTCGTGGCCTCAAGATAGTATCTCGTGGCCTCAAGATAGTATCTCGTGGCCTCAAGATAGTATCTCGTGGCCTCAAGATAGTATCTCGTGGCCTCAAGATAGTATCTCATGGCCTCAAGATAGTATCTCGTGGCCTCAAGATAGTATCTCGTGGCCTCAAGATAGTATCTCGTGGCCTCAAGATAGTATCTCGTGGCCTCAAGATAGTATCTCGTGGCCTCAAGATAGTATCTCGTGGCCTCAAGATACTATCTCAAGGCCTCAAGATACTATCTCTTGGCCTCAAGATAGTAACTCGTGGCCTCAAGATAAGTAACTTGTGGCCTCAAGATAGTAACTCGTGGCCTCAAGATAGTAACTCGTGGCCTCAAGATAGTAACTCGTGGCCTCAAGATAGTAACTCGTGGCCTCAAGATAGTAACTCGTGGCCTCAAGATAGTAACTCGTGGCCTCAAGATAAGTAACTCGTGGCCTCAAGATAGTAACTCGTGGCCTCAAGATAGTAACTCGTGGCCTCAAGATATTAACTCGTGGCCTCAAGATAGTAACTCGTGGCCTCAAGATAAGTAACTCGTGGCCTCAAGATAGTATCTCGTGATAGTATCTCTATCTTGAGGCCACAAGATACTATCTTGAGGCCACAAGTTACTATCTTGAGGCCACAAGTTACTTATCCTGAGGCCACAAGTTACTATCTTGAGGCCACGAGTTACTATCTTGAGGCCACGAGTTACTTATCTTGAGGCCACGAGTTACTATCTTGAGGCCACGAGTTACTATCTTGAGGCCAAGAGATAGTATCTTGAGGCCACAAATTACTTATCTTGAGGCCACGAGATAGTTATAATATTTTTTTTGACAAAGTGGGACTAGGGGGGCTCCGTACAAAAGTGTATTTGAACACGTCTTAAGTGCACTTGCTCCGTGCACTTTAGACCATGCACTTAGATCGTTAAAATAGGGCCCATTTAAAGGGATATTGCATCCAAAAATGAATATTGTGTCATTAATTGGCAGGTTGCCGGGTGTTAAGGTCAAGCCCATAATTGCTACACTTATGGACACTGGACCATTTTTGACCACTGAAATTTGTTGTTCAGTTTCGAAACGTCAAGTGGGTGAGTGAATGATGACAGAATTTTAAAAACCATCCTTTTAAATCCTTATCAGCGATCATTGTTATCTGCTCATGCATTAATTAGGTGGGAGGAGCTACAGTGAGACTGACGTTACGAGCTGAGCGTTGTCATTGGGCAGCTGTGGCAGCTGTTTCCTCCTCCAGGCCAGAAACGCACTCAGGGTGCTGTAGGGGTTGTCGCTCACACTGATCTTGTCTTGATCGTTCCAGATCTCCAACCGGATCAGAGCCACACGGATGTTCAGTGTTTTATAATACTGGCAACATAAACACATAATATATTAGAGTCCAGATGTGTGATAAAAATGTGTTTAATGGTACAATTCACAACAATCTCACCTTATCCACAAAGTTAGCTGCTTCAATCAGCGTCATTTTGGTCTTTTCAAAGTCCCGACCATGATTCACAAACTGAAAAAGAGACACGATTAGGATTTATCTTTAATTTGGATGGCTGAACTGACCTTTGTGTCATGTAGGTGGTGATTAGAAATTACTCTTATCAGAGCAGAGGACAGTTATTCTGAGTCATGACAGGAAACAAGCCTTATCTCAGACGATCTCAAGACACTTAACCAGACACCTTTATCCAAAGAAACCACCTGGCACAAAATCTTGTTGATTTCTGCATGTGATAATAAGAACGTGCTACAAAAAGATGCCGATAAAAACCAAGGACAGACTGTCTGAATCCTGTAATCACAGAAATAAATACTGAGATTATTATAAGAGGTGTTTGCTAAAGAGACTCTTTTTTTTAAAAACCTTAGCAAATGCATATCAACACTTTATGGTGGCAGCTTTTACATGGGAATGCACATATTCTTCCGAAAAATTTACAAATTCAGTTACATTTATTGTTTAAAGATACACTACTATTCAAATGTTTGTGGATTATACAGTAAACATTTATAATATTATAAATAGTATTACAGTTTTACATAACTGTTTACTTAAATATATTTTCAAATGCAATTTGTGGTAGCAAAGCTCACATACTTCTTCAGAAATCATTCTAATATGCTGATTTGCTACTCATAAACATTTCTTATTATTATCAATCTTGATTTTTTGTTGTTGAAACTGTGATCCATTTTTTTTCAAGATTCTTTGATGAACAGAAGGCTCAAAAGAACTGCATTTATTTGAAATATCTGAAATCTATTGGAATTATTTTGTAACGTTATAAATGTCAATACAAGTATTAATTACTTCCAAAGGGAAAAAATCAGTAGTGTACATTTGTAAAGTGTCTGTCAAAACTATATGGTGCAAAACGCCAACTTCAGCAGTTTACTAAGTCTTGTCTCTCAAAGTTCCCCTTGCTTTTCAGCAGATACCTGAATTTAAGTGATTTTACCTCAGCATGGTCGGCCACCACCATAAGCTCCACGTATTTCATGCTACTGCTGACATCCCTTCTTTTCTGCAGGAAGAGATAGATAAGATATGACTAGGCATAGGCTAATTTGATATACTACAGAAGAAGTGCCGAGTCACTGCTTCAAAACCTGAGTTTATGAATGTAAATGCTGTGAGACACTAATTGAGACATCCTGTCTGTCTTCAGTTAGGGACAGACACTCTATTCATGTATGCAAACGCAAAGAACAATGTGTCCTTAGTTTAGTACCACTTTAGTCAGCTCTTCACATTTATTTAAATAACAAGTTTTATTATCTGGTACTTTCCATGAATAGGGTACAAAATAGAGCCTGAACTCTTAAAAAATGTGCTATTTTATTTTCTTTCTTTTTCAACAAATTGTCAGTGAAAGGAGGTGCATAACCTTCAGGAAATGTTCACTGACAACTTTAGGAGGTTGTACTATATTTTCATATGGGCTGTTTTATTTTACATTCATTTTAATAAGGTTTTGCAACACTTCAAATTGGGCTCTAAACACAGTTAAAAGCGTGATTTTTTTTTAGCAAATTTCTAGCTAGAAACATTAAACAAATACAGAAAAAAAATTTTTTTAGGAAAAAATACTTAATTTAAACCTTAAAAAGTCAAATATATTGCAAAATGTCCAAATATATGTCAATTTTGAAAGAAAATATATTTACATACATTAAAAATGTAAACAAACGGCCAAATAATATATAGGGGGAAATATAAGTAGAGTTTTAAGTAGAGTTTGGATTTTAAAATCCATTTTTGTATATTTTGAAATATAGGCCTATTCAAAAAATGTTGAATAAACGTCAAAATATTTTGTTATTTTGGTTTAAAGAAGGTCAGGACCTCTGAGGTGGTACAGGCCAAATTCACCATTTTAAGGGGTACACCTATTTTTATTGTTTCTAAAACTAGCTACTTTTCATGCTAGGTTCATTTTATGTTACATATTAGTTTCTCTGAAATACTTTGCACAACAAAAAACATAGGAAATGTGCCTTCAATGCTTTAAAAAAAACACCATAGGCACCAAAATGTACCATATTCACACCAAGTGCTGTTGGAACATTTTTGATTTTTGATTTAGACAACGAGCTTCTTCAAATGAAATGTACATTGATCCGAGGGGATCTCTAGTTTGACTTTGGGTGAAGTGTTCTTGCACAACAATACCATGATCTCACCCTATTGCTCTGCTGAGGCTTTCCCATGACATCAATCAGCTCTTGAAGGCTTTCCGTGTGATTCCCGTCTCCATGGTGGTGTCCGCAGGTGCCCGCTGGCAGTTTCAGGCTCTGAGCGTTGTATACTGCATGTCCCTGAGAGTGTGTTTGGTTAGCTAGCGGTTCGATCATGTAGCTCACGCTGTTATTGACTGTTATCATCCCCCTGGGGATTGAGAAGACAAAACGTCAATCACAAGCTTTAAACTTTAAATTTCAATGATCAAGTGGAAAATCAGAGTCATGGACATTAAACAGGCCTACAGGATGGAAACCTCTCAGATGGGTTTCGCACGGGAAGCAGCTTCACCACACAAAATCTTTATCCCGGATGGGAGGGGGAAGAAAAAAAGGGAATAAAACTGAATTGATAGCCAACTTGTGTTTATGCTGAACTGGTTTTTTTTTTAAGCAAAAACAGATTTCCTTGCTTCCTGGATATCCAAGTATTCTCCAAACACCAACCTAGTTGCACACACAACACTTCACAGATGTACAGGGACGCCCAACTATCAATGAAAATGCTTCCACTGCAGAAATGCACAACAATATGCAGGGCACAAAATAAAACCCAAACCAAATATTACGACGAACTAACAAACTTACAGTTACATGGCAATATTATGTGATAGGTTAACTGTCTATGAATGCTGAGAGTTGCTACTTTCTGTAGGAACAGGCATCCTGCAAAGATATAGAATACTCAATGACGAGTTCTTGAATGGGAAGTAAAGACATCTGTTATATGATACACAAAACTCTAGACAAAATGTTTTCATGGTGCTCGTTTAGTGGAATCGTACACCGCAGCTGTGAAATTTATCTGGAAGGACGTGTGTATACTCTATAAAATTCCCATCTCCAATCAAACCCAACTCACTCAAGCTGTGCTGGCTCATCGATCTTTTTGGATATCAGTCAATGTGTGTCTGTTCAGACAGGAAATGGAGTCTCTGAACGAGCTGGAGCTCAGCAGGACTATACATCTACCCTCGGCCCACTCAGAAACCCAGAGACCCAGCCACGCTGCTACAATGAACTCGCTGAACTCACTTCCTGGGCTAATAAACTGGAACTTTTGTGCAAAAAAGACAAGTTCTCATGACACAAAGTCATTTCACTAAAGCTGAAGTTTCTAAGAGTCTGACAGAAAATGGAACTAAAAATGGTTTTGTGAAAGTCACAATTACTAACCATAAAAGACAGTTTTGCATGATAATAATAACACTATAAAATGTAAATTTGATGAACTAAAGAATAAAATGAAATAATGTTTTAGAAAACGGTTTTCGTTCAGAAAAATATCATGAATTAATAAGAAAATTAAGCTATGGCTCACAAGAGGCCATGGGTTATGATTTTACCTTGGTTTAAGATGGAGAGTGTCATTTCAGAACCACTAGTGGCACCAAACTGAATTGCAAAAATGTAAAAAAATAAAAAATATTTCAAACTCCCCACATCTTCCAATGATTGCATCCCTGTTGTCAATATAAAATTATAATAAAATAAGCCAAGTACTGTGCATTTACATGTGGCTCTTTCAATAAAAATGTGTCTAGTTACAGTACAAGCATTACATTTCAAGCCTCTAAAGGATCCATTGAACATGCTAAATAAAAACATATAATTAAATAAATATATTTTTCACACAATACACATGCAGATCTGCTGTGGTTCTTACCTGAATCCAGCACAGGTGCTGATGACGAGACTAGACCCCTGGATCCCCTTGACTGACCCATGATAATAACAGTGATCCTGAAACCAAGATAACATAATAAACTGTAAGTATACCATTAGAGGAAAAGCGGTTTTGAAGTACTACAGGTCCTTCTCAAAAAATTAGCATATTGTGATAAAGTTCATTATTTTCCATAATGTAATGCTAAAAATTAAACTTTCATATATTTTAGATTTATTGCACACCAACTGAAATATTTCAGGTCTTTTATTGTTTTAATACTGATGATTTTGGCATACAACTCATGAAAACCCCAAATTCCTGTCTCAAAAAATTAGCATATCATGAAAAGGGTCTCTAAACAAGCTATTAACCTAATCATCTGAATCAACTAATTAACTCTAAACACCTGCAAAAGATTCCTGAGGCTTTTAAAAACTCCCAGCCTGTTTCATTACTCAAAACCGCAATCATGGGTAAGACTGCCGACCTGACTGCTGTCCAGAAGGCCATCATTGACACCCTCAAGCAAGAGGGTAAGACAGAAAGAAATTTCTGAACAAATAGGCTGTTCCCAGAGTGCTGTATCAGGGCACCTCAGTGGGAAGTCTGTGGGAAGAAAAAAGTGTGGCAAAAAACGCTCCACAACGAGAAGAGGTGACCGGACCCTGAGGAAGATTGTGGAGAAGGACCGATTCCAGACCTTGGGGGACCTGCGGAAGCAGTGGACTGAGTCTGGAGTAGAAACATCCAGAGCCACCGTGCACAGGCGTGTGCAGGAAATGGGCTACAGGTGCCGCATTCCCCAGGTCAAGCCACTTTTGAACCAGAAACAGCGGCAGAAGCGCCTGACCTGGGCTACAGAGGAGCAGCACTGGACTGTTGCTCAGTTTTGCATGTCATTCGGAAATCAAGGTGCCAGAGTCTGGAGGAAGACTGGGGAGAAGGAAATGCCAAAATGCCTGAAGTCCAGTGTCAAGTACCCACAGTCAGTGATGGTCTGGGGTGCCATGTCAGCTGCTGGTGTTGGTGCACTGTGTTTTATCAAGGGCAGGGTCAATGCAGCTAGCTATCAGGAGATTTTGGAGCACTTCATGCTTCCATCTGCTGAAAAGCTTTATGGAGATGAAGATTTCATTTTTCAGCACGACCTGGCACCTGCTCACAGTGCCAAAACCACTGGTAAATGGTTTACTGACCATGGTATTACTGTGCTCAATTGGCCTGCCAACTCTCCTGACCTGAATCCCATAGAGAATCTGTGGGATATTGTGAAGAGAAAGTTGAGAGACGCAAGACCCAACACTCTGGATGAGCTTAAGGCCGCTATCGAAGCATCCTGGGCCTCCATAACACCTCAGCAGTGCCACAGGCTGATTGCCTCCATGCCACGCCGCATTGAAGCAGTCATTTCTGCAAAAGGATTCCCGACCAAGTATTGACTATTGAGTGCATAACTGAACATAATTATTTGAAGGTTGACTCTTTTTTTTTTTTGCATTAAAAACACTTCTTTTATTGGTCGGATGAAATATGCTAATTTTTTGAGACAGGAATTTTGGGTTTTCATGAGCTGTATGCCAAAATCATCAGTATTAAAACAATAAAAGACCTGAAATATTTCAGTTGGTGTGCAATGAATCTAAAATATATGAAAGTTTCATTTTTATCATTACATTATGGAAAATAATGAACTTTATCACAATATGCTCATTTTTTGAGAAGGACCTGTATATACTACATAAGTAATAATACTATAAATATATATATACTGGGTTTGGACACTAAAACACTGGCCAATATAGCATTGGAGGTTTCACGCCTATATATGCGTGGCATCGCTGGCCTGGTGGCTAATCTTCACTAATTTTACACTCCATCAGTAAGAGCAGACAGTGAAGGTTGAATTACCAGAGCAATAGCACAGCTGTACATAAAATATTGCAATTCACACAACATAATAGGAGACATATGAGTACAAAGAGGACAAATTGTTGGAGCACGTCTCGCTGGCTCATCTGTGACCAGGACGGAAAATCCCTGTGGTGTATCGAGGGCTATGTTATCCAGGGTAATGTCGGCATATCACCGGCACCAAGAAGGATGAACCACATCCAACAGGAGGGACTGTTGACGCAAGAGGAAGCCATCTGAAAGGGATGTCCAGATACTAACCCGAATTGTGTCCAAAAAACATAAAAACCACAGTTGCCCAAATCACTGCAGAAATAAATGTGCACCTCGACTTTCCTGTTCCCACCAAAACTGTTTGTCAGGAGCTCCACGGGGTCAATATTCATGGTCGGGCTGCTATAGCCAAACCTTTGGTCACTCATGCAAAGGCCAAGCGTCAATTCCAATGGTGCCAGCAGAGGAAATCTTGGGCTGTGGACAATGTGAAACATGTATTGTTCTCTAATGAGTCCACCTTCACTGTCTTTCCCACATCTGAGAGAGTTACGGTGTGGAGAAGCCCCAAAGAAGCTCAACACCCGGACTGTTGCTGCCCAGAGTGAAGCACGGCAGTGGATCACTGATTGTTTGGGCTTCAATATCATGGCATTCCCTAGGCCCACTACTTGTGCTTGATGGACCAAGGACTACCGAACCATCAGTGGAGGACCATGTGCACACAATGGTTCAAATATTGTACCTTGAAGGTGGGGCTGTGTTTAAGTAATTTGATGAACATGAAAATGAAGTTGAACATCTTCAATGGTCTGCACAGTCACCAGATGTATATATTTTTGAGCCACTTTGGGGTGTTTTGGAGGAGCGAGTCAGAAAATGTTTTCCTCCACTAGTGATCTAGCCACTGTGAGGAAAGAGGAATGGCTCAAAATCCCTCTGGCCACCGTGAAGGAATTGTTTCTGTCATTCCCAAGATGAATGCTGTATTGGCTGCAAAAAGGTGGCCCTATACTATGCTAATAAATTATTGTGATCTAAAACCAGGTGTTTCAGTTTCATTGTCCAACCCCTGTATGTATATATGACAACATAGTTTATCATACGATTACTATGACAATATGAACTATTCACATGCTATTTAGAAGTGAATGATTCTGGAATGGCTCTTACACTCACCCTGTTGGAAGGCCTGGAAAACTGACGGTTTCCATTTGGATCATACCATATCTCCTGATATTCAGAGGAGAACAACTCCCTTAGAGAAGAACACACACAAAAGACAAAATAATTCAGCTATACATTTAATATGCACAGCTGGTAACCAGACAGCTTCTATCACTTCCAAAAAGGAATAACATAAACACTTCAAACTTGTTTCCATTCCTTCTCTGGGGTCAAACATGAATCAGGATTTGGTACTTATCAGATGCAGATTATTTGGAGTGAAGAAACCACGAGGCCTTACTGGTTATATTGAGTATTTCAAAGGATTTCTGCACAGAAAATGGCAGACGGTTTTAGGTCTCTTTCCCTTAATGACCTTGAGCTCATTAAAGATTTATCTAAAGTGACTGAATGCTTTGAGATCGACAGTAAATGTGCTTACAGTCTGAGAACAGTCTGTTTATTGTGCATATACTCTTTCTCCTTAAAGGTTGAAACAAGACCACTAAGTGCTAAACTGGTCCTAAATATTTAATTTCTCCCAACAAGTCTAACAAACGATTTTCACAAAGACTGCATCACACTCAAATCTTTTCTTAGCTAAAGCTTAGCTATATACTATAAAGACATAGTACTGTGTCATACAAAAAGAAGAGATTATGATGCTTTTCTTCTATGTTTCCCCCACATCCTAACTAAAAAGTCACAACTTCACAGACACCAACAATACATGTGTTTCTATTAACATGATAATGGATATTGGATAACATGAAGTGGATACAATTACTATTGTCCCATTAATCATCGTTAGTTAAATCATCAACCAAAACTTAACTAATAATGAGCAATTCATTTGTTACAATATTTATTCTTTTTTGTAAACGTTAATTATTTAAAATACAGCTGTTTATTGTTAGTTCATGTTAGCTCAGGTCCATTAAATGGTGTTAACAGATCCTACTTTTAATACTTTTTAATAATGTATTAGATAATGTTAAAATTAACATTAACTAAAATTAGTAAATGCTTTAAAAGTATTCTAATTGTTAGTTCATGTTAACTATTGTAGTTAACTAATGTTAACAAATGAAACCTCATTATGAAGTATTACTGTATCATAAATATCATTAAAGCCACTTAAAAATGATTAATACTGTCTACAACCCATACATATTTATATCCTAATTTATGGGTTTAACAAAGAAAAAATATAATACTTTCCTTCTCAGGAGAGTAAAAATGGTAAACAGTAAATATGTAACAACCAAGACACATTTTCAAGAATTTTTTTTTAAAACATAAGAAAATAAGACAAATAAGAAAATTTTCTGTCAATCAAATTATTAGGGGCCAAGCACCACAGGTCTGAAGGTCTCACTCTGACCACACCACATCAATTTCGTAACTGCGCCACCTGTAGGTCAAAAGTGAAAAACCATTCAATCATATTGTGACTGTATTTTACCATTTCTTTCACCAATTTTGCCTAAAATCATCTGCAAATGTCTCTAATTGCTCATTGTTGCAGTTGGTCTGACACTCCCAGACATGTTGGCATGGTTTGTTGTCTTCTTTGCACTTGTCCCCAATAATGGCTGCTTGCAGCTATATTTTAAATTATATTTTGTATCACACTGACAAGTGCACTGTCATGTATCGTCTGTGTTGTTTTGGTTCTTTCAGTTTAATTTTATTACCTGTGTTTAGTTGTCATAGTTACTCATTTGTTAATGATAATTCTCACCTGTTCCTCGTTTTTAATGCTCATTTTAGCTGCATTCACGTCATGTCACTTTGGATAAAAGTGTCTGCTAAATGATTAAATGTAAATGTCGTAATTATGAGATTCAAACTTGTAAAGAGCGTTCACGTCCTCGTAGAACTCATAACTTGTAATTTTCGGAGAGCTCCGACTTGTACCACGTTACCGCTGTACAACATGACCACCGCAGATTCATTATTGCCGTTGATAGTCTTGCCATAGAAATGGATAATTGGATGTGAGTGAGCAGCAATTATGCTGGTTCAATTCTTTGTCTTTTCTCATTTTTGTTTGCTCTACTCCTGCAGATTTAGAGTTTTATGTTTTCATTTAATAACTATACTTCTTTGCAAATAGATCCACGCTTCAACTCTCCTTACCTGCAACCATGGCACACACAAAGCAATTCGAGTCATTATTTTATGTTTCATTAGTGTGTTTGCAACACCTTTTTTATCCTTTATATTAAAAAATAAAGTGATGTATTGTGAACACCTGTAAAATCATTTACCATTCAGTTCAAAATGGGAACTGAAACAGTCTGCTACCACTAAAAATATTTTTGATGTGACAATTTGACTTGCTCTATCTATATCTAACCACACATTGTGGTCTCATTCTGCCTCTTCTTCTCTTTTACACATACACACCCACACCCACACACACAACTATAAATCTAAAGTGTCTGTCTCTCTTTGTTTAAATTAGTGGGCCCAACAACACTTGCTCTGGACACAGTCCAGACCTCCTGGGCTGCGACCTCCATCACCCCCACGCAGGAACACCCACCCGACTGCACAAGTCTGCACTGGCCCTGCAGGACCCTGGATCTCTGCCAGGGAGAAAAAGTGTCATGGACTCGAGTCCAAAGAGCCCCTCAGAGACATACCGGTCATACGGGCATTCTGATATATGTAGGGCCTTTTAAATAAATACATGCTACAAGTATAAATACTAGCACACAGGGTCCTTTAAGGTCATATGAGCATATGAGAAAGTTAGTAAAGACAATGTTTAAAATAGTCCAAGTGACTACAGTGGCTCAACCATAAGTTTATCAAGCGACGAGAAAACTTTTTGTGTTTAAGGTTGAGCCAGTAGTCACTTGGACTATTTTACTGGAGGCACACTCAGATTTTGACAGATGAAGGTGCACAATATGCCATGTCAGAACTTTTCATGTCACAGCGAACACCAGCAAGGCCATTCCAGATACAGTCCAAGAGGGTGGAAAAGCACTCAGGACAGAATTGGGGGCAGTAGGCCAGGGGGTTCTTGAGTCTAACGGACACCCTCTCAAACAATTCATGCCTGTTGATCCTATCTGCCGAGCAGTCACAGAGGGAACTAAAACAAGGCCCGCACTTAATCTGCCACACTGCCGCCCAATGACCCAAAATGTGTTGCTATATTAAACCCAGCCACAAGCAGCCACTGGGCCAACCAGAAGACTCATAAATTAACAATAAACTGACTCTGGCTGTGCATGACGCTATAGTCCCTTAGGCTCTGGAAAAATTGAGTGAGTGAGACAGGAATAGGTATTATTTTACTGACAGAAAGAAGGATGTTGCACATACTAGGTGGGCGATTAACATACATTTTAAGTGGCGTCTTGGCAGTTGTTTTAGCTACACAATTACAAACACTTACGGAAAGACACCTATAAAACAAAAGCTGGCAAAAATAGACCATGCAGAGATTTTGATTATGGTCCAAACTAGCTAACTAACTATACAAGGACTCAGTGAATAATTGTTTCTCCTAACTTGCCAATGGTCGTGAACGCTCATTAATATTTTTTACCCAAAATTATATTGCATTTCACTTCATCTTTAACAAAAATATATTCTTTGTCCGTATGAAAATGGGATTATTTAACATATTGTTTTTATGCTATGAAATATTTACTGATTTTTATAAAGTAACCATAATAATAACGTTTATAATGTCAGTAATATTTCAAGATGAACACTTCCTGGACTAAAGCAACTTCGGCTTGCTTGATTATCTCTCAATCATTGAAATGCATTGGATAATAAGTTTTGTCCCCCACAAAAAAAAAAACTACATAGTATGGAAGTTGTTTCCGCCACTGAATAATAAAAAAAATAATAATAGTTGCGACTTTTTATCTCACAATTGCGATATGAAGTCAGAATTGTGAGAAATAAAGTCGCAATTGCGAGATATAAAGTCGCAATTCTGAGAAATAAAGTCGCAATTCTGAGAAATAAAGTCGCAATTCTGAGAAATAAAGTCGCAATTCTGAGAAATAAAGTCGCAATTCTGAGAAATAAAGTCGCAATTCTGAGATATAAAGTCGCAATTATGAGAAATAAAGTCGCAATTGCGAGAAAAAAAGACAGAATTGCGACTTTTTATCTCACAATTCTGACTTTATAACATACAATTGCGAGTTTATATCTCGAAATTCTGACATCTTTTCTCAGAATATTGAGATATAAACTCGCAATTGCGAGTTATCAGGCCAATTCTAAGGGGGAAAAAAAGACTAACTTTTTTCCCCTCAGAATAGTTTATATCTCGCAATTCTGACTGTACAACACGCAATTTCAACTTTATATCTCGCAATTTCAACTTTATATCACGCAATTCTAACTTTATAACACGCAATTGCGACTTTATATCAATCAATTCTGACTTTATATCTCGCAATTCTGACTTTATAACACGCAATTGCGACTTTATTTCACGCAATTCTGACTTTACAACACGCAATTGCGACTTTATATCAATAAATTCTGACTTTATATCTGGCAATTCTGAATTTATAACACGCAATTGCGATTTTATATCACACAATTCTGACTTTATATCTCGCAATTCTGAGAAATAAAGGCAGAATTGCGAGATGTAAACTTGCAAGTGTGAGAAAAAAAGTCAGAATTGTGAGATAAAAAGTCGCAATTACCCTTGTGGCGGAAACAAGCTTCCATAACATAGCTTTGATTATAAAACTAAGCATTGAAATTTCATCTTACTCAGACTTATTTTGGAAGATATAGAGCAACATAAACTTATATTTATGTGCATTTTTTAAAAATAGTCTGCTATACTTTTATAAGAATCTCATCGAAATTAAGAATGACTTTTTCGCCATCTAAGCAACTGCATCAAATTGTGTGTATTTTTGACAAGTTTGAGACTCTGAATAAAAGTGAATTTCTTTTTTCGTTCTCAACTATGACCGACATATTCTCCTATATCCTACGAGTCATAAAAGCCTGATGTATGTCAAATATGATACTCAACAAAAGTTTTTGGGCTATTATTTCATATGTCAGGCTTTACAGGGTTAAATCCTA